GTGGAGGTTGCAGTGAGCTGAGATTGCATCATTGCACTCCAGCTACTCAGGAGGCAGAGGCAGGAGGATTGCTTGAGCCCAGGAGCTTGAGGCTGCAGTGAGCTGTGATGGTGCCACTGCACTCCAGCGGTTGCCTGAAGCCAGGAATAGCACCATGCCCTGTGATGAATGTTGAATTTATAAATTAGGCACAGTGAGAGGTTAACAACAACAATAATAAAATAGAACAATTATAACGGTATACTGTAATAAGTTACGTGAATTTTGGTCTCTCGAAGTTCCGTGATATTTTTGGACCTTAGTTGAGTAAAGGTGATTGAAACCGAAAGGCGAGACCTTGGGTAAGGGGCACTCCTGTGTACTGTGTTTCAGTGAAAAAGACAGCACTTGATCTCACATCTTTTAAACTAAAACAGACTAATTATATTCCCTTAAAATTTTAGGTTCTTCACGTATGGTAATTTTCCATTAGAACAGCATCTGAAACAAATTCATGAGGAAGCACTGAGCAAATTCCAGAAAATCGAACCAAGCACCACGGTGCCATCTCAGACACCCTGGGACAAGCCTGTGAGTGCCCCACTGTGTTTGTGGCCTGCCTGGTAAATATGTTGACATGAGGACTTGGACTGGGTGTTCATGATGGGATTTCAGAGGCTGTCATGGTCGGTACAGAGTATGGGAGATCTTTTCAAACCAAAAGAATAGTTATTTGTTTGAAAAGAAAGTTAACTTAGCGGAAAGCATGTTTCGGTCCATTTTGTGTATCCAGATAACGTAGAGTCATTAACAACTGTCAGACACTATGCCTACTCACAAGGTCACGTCATTTTACAGAGGGAATTCCAGATAACATGTGGCCCGGATTCATTTGCTACAGATCCCTCTAAACAAACAACCGTCAGCGTTAGCTTCCTCTTACCGGAGTGAGTATATGCTGTCAAAGCTCATACAAGACAAAAACATGAGGAAAATATTCTTATTAGAAGGTTCAGAAGTGAGTTCTACAATTGAATGTAAATTAATAATTAATACACAGTTAGGATTCAGGGGTTAAGTGGATTTTAGGAAAAGAGAACAAAATGTCAAAGTTTTTAATAACATCCGAAATGGTTTTTGAGGAAAATCATTTTTGATAGCCCTCCGGAAGAAAAGTAATTTACTTATTGTATTTCAAAGCTTTCTTCCTACAGAGAAAAGACTGCCTCAGACTAGCAATTGCTCACATTTTGAGGTCACAGGTCCCTTTCAGTGTGAGAATGGTACTGTGAACACGCGCCTCGGCAAAATACACCACATACAAAACTTTGTAATTCCGGTGGTTTCACGAGAGTAGCTCAGAACCGTGCCGGGCGCGTGTTCAGGAAGGGAAGGCTCTGGGCCCTCCCGTGCTCAGCCTGCAGCTCCGCGGCTGGCACCTCTCCTGGCTTGTTCCTTGTCTCCTTAATGGTGCTGCCACTGTGCCTGTCGTTTAAATCGTGTGGAAAGTGCCTGGCAGGCTGTCACATGGGGAGCATTTTATGTGCAGTGCAGTTAATTTTATGGTTTGTGTCCCCCCTCAAAAATCCCAGTATTTAAGGGAAATTCTCTTTTGCTCATAAAATTGTTAAAATGTTGAAATGCAAGAATTTCTAGAAAGATGTGTAGTGATTCTAAATAAAATGTGCATAAGGGCCAATAATTTTCCCTTTTCTCTTACCTCCCCTTTCCTTTTTTTTTTTTTTTTTTCCCCCAATGCAGCATCACCGACACATTCGAAGCCTTCACATTAAGTCTTCTGTCTTCACTCTTGACTTCTGGGCCCAATTCTCCCTTTTACAAAGCCTTGATTGAATCTGGCCTTGGCACAGACTTTTCTCCTGATGTTGGGTGAGTTTATGATTAGATTAGATCAGTAGTTCTGATGGGTTGGGGGCAGTTTTGCTCCTTCACCTCCACACCCTGTCCCCGCCCCACACTTGACAATATCTGGACCATTTTTGGATTTTTGATTGCTATAACTGGAAGATGGTGGACCAGGAAGTTGCTGAGCGTCTCATGGTGCACAGGATGGCCACCCCCATCAGGGGGCTCTGGATAAGATCCTGGATCCAGTGCCAGCCATTTCTGTCCCCTCAAGGGGGTGTTTGTCCTAAGTAAAACACCCAGCACAAAGGCAGCTTTTCCAGGGTCTCAGAATGTCATGGTGTTGTCTCTTACAGGTCAGGTCATTAAGTATTAGAAATTTTTAAAATTGTGTAAAACTCAGCAGTTCTCTGTTTTGATATTTATCCTGCCATAACTCAAAAGTTTAAATTTAATTTTTAAAAAAAGATGTAAAAATGACATAGATGTACATGGAACCAATTACTTGAGAACACTGCTTGAATGCACTTTTCAGTGGAGGGGCTGGACTTGGAAGTGCTTCATTCTGATCTTTAAATCAAGCATGTGATGAGGGCATGATGAACGTGCCTGGATTCCAGTGCATCATTTCTGGTTTTTTCTTTTAGATATAATGGCTACACGAGGGAGGCCTACTTCAGTGTCGGCCTCCAAGGGATTGCAGAGAAAGACATTGAGACAGTTGGAAGCCTCGTAGACAGAACGATTGATGAAGTAGTTGAGTGAGTGTGGCCTATTTGTAACAGTCTGCTTTCGTTCCTCATTTCTGCGTGCTTTTTGGGAGGAGCTGAGCCTGATCCACTGTTTGGGCCTTCCCTCTCTGTCATATAATATGCATTTGTTCATATTTATTTGTTTAAATGTTATCCTTGCTACCGTTTGTTTCTAAAACTCTTCTACATCTTAGGTTTTTGTTTTGTTTTGAGACAGGGTCTCGCTTTGTCACTGAGCCTGATGTGCAGTGGCGTGATCTCAGCTCACTGCATTTTCCTCCCCTACCGGGCTCAGGTGATCCTCCCACCTCAGCCTCCCAAGTAGCTGGAACTAGGGTGCACGCCACCATGCCCAGCTAATTTTTGTATGTTAGAGATGGGCTTTCTCTGTGTTGCCCAGGCTGATCTTAAACTCCTGGCCTCAAGCAGTCCTCCTGCCTTGGCCTTCCGAAGTGCTGGGATTACAAGCATGAGCCATTGTGTCTGGCCCATCTTTGTTCTTCATTGTATTCTTTAGGAAAGGATTTGAAGATGATCGGATTGAGGCTTTACTTCATAAAATTGAAATACAGATGAAACATCAGTCTACCAGCTTTGGGCTGATGCTGACATCAGTAAGTGATTTCTCAACAACAAATTTAATTTTATAATAGACATTTTGTCTTGTTACTAGCTTAATTGGCTTTTTGATATTTTTATGTGAAATAGATTACTTTAAATGGGTGAGGATTTATAACTAGTAGCCTGTTGGTTATTTCCTAAACATTATTTCAGCCTGTGGTTTTTATTTTATTAGAACAACATAGAGCTAAAGTAAGTTTTTGGTTTCTCCATCCAAATAATTACATGACTTTTGTTATAAACAATCAGCTGTGGTATATTTAAACATAGAAACTAGGATCTTAATATCAAGTCTGGGCTGTTTGTGGAGGTTGTACGGTGTGGTACCAGCTGCGTTGTGGATGTGGAAATCTTCCTTCCAGTACATAGCTTCTTGCTGGAACCATGACGGGGACCCTGTGGAGCTCCTGAAGTTGGGAAATCAGTTGGCTAAATTCAGACAGTGCCTGCAGGAAAATCCAAAATTTTTGCAAGAAAAAGTAAAACAGTATTTTAAGGTAAGAAAGTTGGATAATTCATTTCTCTAATTTTGAAGTTGAATTTTATACTAATGAAAGGAATATTAGGAACGTAATCTATACATTTAAGTAATTTCTGTTAATGGGTGACTTAATTTCTAATTAAAAATTTAAATGCTGGCATTAACTTTATTTTCCAGATTGTAATGCAAGTTGATAATTTTTTTAGATGAATGTGTGCATTTTTAGTACGTCAATATATGTATGTTTGTGTGAACAAAATATTTGCATACATTGTTCTTTTATTAGTAGAAGAATATAAAATAGAACAGTCACCCAAATGTAATGAATCTTCTGGTTTTCATGAGTGAATACTTTTGATGCTTGTGCGTTTGTTTTCTCAGATTTTTAGGCAGTTGTGCTTGGTTGCCTGTTCCTTGCTTTGTACTCATTATCATGGTAGAACTTTAAAAAATGTTCCCATGGTGGGAAAGACTGTTGTCTACTTTGAAGGGGAACTCTCCAGTAGGTTCCGTTGTTTTAGGCATGAGATACGATTTAATGACTTGACCTGCAGTTTCTCTCAGCGATTGTAAGTTATTTCCGTGAACTTTCTGGTGTCTTCGAGTTATCTTACCTCTGTAGTATTTTATATGGGAGCATTTTGTGCATGTGTAGTTTTTTTAATTGTTGAAACAAGGAAAGTACATGAAATAACCTAACGTTTATTTTTATATTACATCAACATGTGTTTTGTTCTAATAATTTATAAAGTATTGAATGGGAAATATAGTTCTAGCCTTTTAGAAGTTAATAGTAGAATGAACACTAGCCAAAAAATAGAATTCTGTATTAACTTCAATTTAGACTAAAATCCAAGATCTATAGTACTTAAAACTGCAAACCTTTTTACAACTAAGATGTAGTGAAAATGTTTAGTATTGATATGCTTAAGACCTAATGACCATAATCATGATAATAGTAGAATAATAGCGTTTATGAATTCTGTAACTACTACACAGGCAGGTATGGTGGTAAGCGTTTTATAAGACTTGTGTACTTTCATCGGCAAAACAACTCTTGAGGTTCGTTCTATTATTACTATTTTTAAAGTGGGAAAGTGGAACCACAAGACTAAGAACACCAGCGGAAGCTTGTTGAGTGTTAGATTGTAATAAGATTTTGTTTTCACTTGGCTTTTGTTGTTGCTGTGGTTGCTGCAGAATAACCAGCATAAGCTGACTTTGTCCATGAGGCCAGATGACAAGTATCATGAGAAGCAGGCGCAAGTGGAAGCCACGAAGCTCAAGCAGAAGGTGGAGGCTCTGTCCCCCGGAGACAGGCAGCAGATCTACGAGAAAGGTCTGAGGCTTCCTTCCGAGCCAGCGAGGCCTGACCTGCACTCAGGCCGAGTGCACTTGTTAGTGAGTTAATAGTTGGAGACAGGTATTATTTCAACCAGCAGGTGTCCACTGGGCACTGACAGAGCTCACGTTCGGTGCAGTGGGTTCAGATAATTTCAGAAAATTGCCCTCATAGCTCAGTAGGAAAGGCAGGAGTCACTGAAAAGAAGTAGCTTGGAAAGATGTATTTACAGATTTTGTAAATACTTTGTATTTATCAGGTGCCATAACATGCCAGTACCATTGTTACGTTGCAGTGCGTGTTACATGGCCTGTGAGCAGAGTGGACAGTGAGAGCTGTGTGTTGGGAAGAGGCCTGTCTCAGGCATAGAGGGGGTGTGTCAGCCACAGAGCAGCACCGGGATTCTGTGGGACAGGCGTGGGGCACACAGGGATGGTGGAGCGGTGGGCATGGAGGGAAGACAGCGTGTGTGGGGGAGACAGGTGTGCCCGGTGACCCTGGGGAGGGCCTGTGTGGAAGACGGGGAGCACATGGGTGCTTCATGGATTAAGGCAGGAGAACTGCCAGGTGAGTGAGCAGCGTAGCAGCAGCCTCATTCGGGATAGTTTTGCAGAAAAATAGAGAAATTGAATGGAGAAAACTGAGAGGCAGGGGATTTTGGCAGCGGCTGTGGGAGCGGCTGCAGGAGTGAAGGAAGGGAGGAGGCCACAGGAGAGAAGGGGACCCAGATGGATTCTCACAGGTAGTTCGGCCTCTGGGAAAAAACATTTGCAAAAGTGGTGTCTGATTAAGACCTGTATTCAGAATATACGAAAAACCAACAATTCAGTCATGAGAGCACACAATCCAATTAACGCATGGGCAAAAGATTTTGACAGATGTCATCGAAGAGATCCTAATGGCAACTAGGCACATAAATCATTACATGGAAATAATCTCATTACTTTCTTAGGGAAATGTATCATAATTATCAGGAAAATGCAGATTAAAACTACAGTGATATACCATTGTACACCTACTAGAATGACTAGCAGTTTAAAAATTACTGCCGGCACCAAATGTCGTCAGTCCTGAAAGGCAGGGGGAATGAATGCTCACACACTGCCAAAGGAGCCAAAATGGTGTGGCCACCTAGGAAACAGGGTCACAGTTCTCACGGTGCCAGCCAACATGCGTGGACCAGGAAGGCCCCGCTCCTAACGATCCTTCCAGAGAAATGGAAACAGGTATCCACACAGAACTTGAAACAACCCAGACTTCCATCAACACGTACATCCTTACAAAGAAATGCCACTAGCTGCGAAGGAGCACGACAATGATGCACCCTTGGTATTGGTGCATCTCAGAAACTTCCCACAAAGGGAAAGAAGCCAGGAGCCAGGTGACATACCGAGACCATTCATGGGAAGCCGTGGATGTGGCAAAGCTGCAGGGACAGAGAGCGGATGAGAAGTGCTGGAGGCCCAGGGTTGGGGGTTGGTTGACTGTAGAGGGGATGGGAGAGTTTTGGGGGTGCTAGAAAGGCCCAGTACTGTGATGTGGTGGCTTCATAACTTGCCACAATTTTCAGAACTTACTGAATTGTGTCTTTAAAATTGTGAATATTATTACTTGTAAGTTATGTATTAATAAAGCCTTTTAAAAAATATATGCAACACATACACACATACTTTTCCTGTTAAAAAAGCTAGTTGGGGCTGGGCGCAGTGGCTCACATCTGTAATCCCAGCATTTTGGGAGGCCAAGGAGGGCGGATCACGAGGTCAGGAGATCGAAACCTGGCTAACATGGTGAAACCGCGTCTCTCCTAAAAATACAAAAAGTTAGCCGGGCGTGGTGGCAGCACCTGTAGTCCCAGCTACTCGGGAGGCTGAGGCAGGAAGAATGGCGTGAACCTGGGAGGCGGAGCTTGCAGCAAGCCAAGATCACGCCACTGCACTCCAGCCTGGGTGACAGAGTGAGACTCCGTCTCAACAACAACAACAAAAAAAGCTAGTTGGGCTGGGATTCTGTGAGAAATTGTCAGGCTTGTCAGGAGGTAAGAGTGGACGTTAGGTGGAGAGTAAGTGACTTCATTTTGATCATGCTAAGGTTGAAGTTATATCATGTAGTAAAAGAAAAATTAATGTCAACTTGTGATCTGTTCTTATTCTTTCTATCTGAATTCTTGTTTAGAGACAACTGTTTTAAGCTGGTTTTTTTTAACCTTAGTCTTTTTTTTTTTAGCTCTGTTTTGTGATAATTGACAAGCTCCAATCTTCCCACTTTTAACTGAAGTTACTCATGAGTACACAAGATAATTCCATGAGTAGGCAAGAGGTTGTACGTTTCCTAAATTACATCATATTCGTTGGCCTGACCTCAGAGCTGTGCTTTAAGAAAACCCAGTATACTGTAGTCCAAACCAGTAGGTTAATGAGCAGTGCTCACACTACAGAGTCCTCCTTTACACACTCACTACAGAGCTCCTTAAAAGGAGGGCACAGTGCTAGTGCAGTGAATGGTTATTTCAGGTCAGTAAGTCTTAAAGTGTGCACGGCAGTGTTAGGATTCTGTGAATTAAAGCCAATCTGTAGAGAACAACAATGCAGAAGAGGTGAATGGGAAACTAGTAAAAGCTTGAATCTTCTGATTTCTGGTCTTGTGTGTGTCTTAAGCACTGTGAAGGGGTAAAGCCTCCACCATCAGGGAGTGTGTGATGTGCTGAAGGGAAACAGAGAAGAGAACGTGCCAGAGGCTTTTTCTGCCCACTGTGAGTGTGTTCAGAGAAGGAGCTCTGGGATGTCAGGGTAGCTGTGGCGTGCTCTAGTGCAGGAGGAACCCCAGGAACCACAGGGAAGGCCGGGTAAGGGAAGAGGCAGGAGGGAGCTTCCTGGCAAAGCCACAGATTACAAAACCTCCGCGTGGCATGAGGTCGGGGAAAGTCAAGATGTTAGGTGGGTGGCGTGCTGGCAGGGGAAGCCTGCAGAGTCCGGATCTGAGCTCCTTGCCACTGGGAGCCTGGGCTCCAGATGCCTCTGGGAGCGGGGGTGGTTGTTGATGGCAGTTGCAGCTCCAGAGGTGGGCAGAAGGGCTGGAGCCCACGGTGGGGCACCTGTGGAGGGGCGACACTGCCTGAGATGCTCACTGTGCCCCAAGGTCCTGTGTCTAAGTGTGTGGCACGCTCTCGGGGCACTTCAGAAGGTGGAAATGGAACATGGGGGAGGTCAGCCCAGCAGACAACAGGAGTGCTGTCTGCGGGGACTGAGTTAAAGCGGGAACCCGGCACAGCCCGCCCCGGGAGTCGTGGAATCGTGCACTCGTGTACTTGCTTGGCACGGTGTAGCACTGTGAAGCCGCTTCACTGATGGCCGTCAGGGCGGGGGGCACACCTGGGTCTTAGGATCTTCCGCATAGGCTGTGGCCCGGTGGAGGGGTCCGCTGTAAAGGTGCTGCCTCCCTCATTGATGAATGGACTGTCAGGCCCAGGAAGTGTCTTTCTAAGCACCACTGTAATTTGTGTGATTTATGTGATTGTGTAAGTCTTTTGTTGAAATTAGTGAAAGTGAAACAATAGAAAACGAGTATAGGGCCAGGTGCGGTGACTCATGCCAGGAATCCCAGCACTTTGGGAGGCCAAGGTGGGAGGATCACTTGAGGTCAGGAGTTTGAGACAGTCTGGGCAACATGGCAAAACCTCGTCTCTACAAAAAAAAAAAAAAAAAAAGAAAAAAATTAGTGATGAGGCTAGGGCAGGAGGATCACTTGAGCCCAGGAGGCAGAGGCTGCAGTGAGCTGAGATGGTGCCACTGTACTCCAGCCTGGGTGACAGAGCCAGGCCGTGTCTGAAAACAAAAAAGATAAGTATAAAGATCACTAAATGTCAGTCCAACAAGAAGTGGTTTGAAAGCTCTGAAAACAAGTCGAATCTATTTAATGTAAACTTTGGAGGGTGCAGGAGAAGCTTCTTGAGCAAACCACCACTCCCCAGCAGAATGTTCAGTAATTGAAAATGAGAATTAGGAAAAGGGCTTCCCACTAAGGAGGTTATTAGTGCATCTAAATCTGGTCAGCCTGGAAATAGGAGATATTTTGCAAACCATCGTGCTCCCGTATTCCTCACACGTGGCATGGATGGCTAATTCTGGATGTAAGATAATAACATAGGAGATAAGTTGCATCAGTCCTTTTAATTATGGCCCTGAATATTCCTTTTTCTTGTTTCTTTTTTAGGTTTAGAATTACGGACTCAACAAAGCAAACCTCAAGATGCCTCTTGTCTGCCAGCGTTGAAAGTTTCAGATATTGAGCCCACCATACCTGTCACAGAGTTGGACGTGGTCCTGACAGGTCACTGTGAACACTATGCTTTTCCTGGGTCTCGGGGTCCTTGGGGAAATTAAATATCGCTCCTCACAGAAGCAATAGAATCACGTCTTGGAGGTTTTCCCTCAAACACTTGAGCAGCCTTGTGCGTTCATAGTCTTGCTCCATACCTGTCTTCTACCTTGTTCCTAACTCTCAGTGGTGATAGACGCATTCACTCAGTAAGAGCCTATGTGTGTGTTCCTGAGAGGGGTTTGATAGGGTGCTCTGATTTCCTGCTTCTAGAATCAAATGAGGATTTGAGTTATGCTGTGACTGTATTAAGTGCAGTTTAAAAAATAGAGGCATCCTCAGAGCCCTTTGTCCCAACTGTTTACCCTGCCATCAGCATGGAGGAAGCAGAGGGATGAGACCCCCGGAAAGGTGGTTTGTTGAGTTGAAAGGGAGTTGGAGGCCAAGTTTATCCCCCTGCTGTGTCCTGGCATTTCATTCCGTGACACGTTTTGTGCCATGTCATGTTTCGTTCCGTGGCACCTTTCGTTCCGTGGTACTTTTTGTTCCATGGTCTGTCGCTGCTTTTGAGTTCTCAGGGTGCCTCCTCTCTCTCTCGCTCCTGGCGGGTAGCTGAAGAGGCGTCTTTGGGGTAACCTCACCTGGGACGGTGTTGATGCTGAGCTTACCAGCAGGTGTGGCCGGACGTGACTGAGCTGAGGGCAGCATGGCTGTCACTTGCACCTCGAGGACGGGGATGGGGTTTCACCCTGGGCATCCCTGAGTCCTGTGAAGCATCTCCAGCCCGCCTTTTGTCTTCTAACAGCGCTTGTCGTGTTTGTATCCTGTTTATTTTCGTGTGTGTGCACGCGCATGTGAGTGGAAATCGAGGCTGACATCTCTCTGATCTGTTAACCCTGGCAGATTTTGTCTGTGAATCTCATTAAGTGTTCGCTAAGAGTGAGAATAAATCAGTCATCCTTCCTTCCATGCCTTGGTCCCTCCGCTGGTCTAGGGCGCTCTGCTAGGTAGGGACCTACGTACGAAGCTGAATGCCCAGCCCTCCCCTCAAGAGATCAGGAAGAGTGGGTGGGGAACACTAGGAGCCTTGTTTGGGGCCCGGGGCAGCCTTCTGTTGTGGGGCCAGAGGGTGGCAGGGCCTGTTGGGGAAGATGAGCAGCGCTGAGGACGGGTGTGATGTGGGCCCGGGGTTCTTGGGGGCACCTGGTCGGAGTTCTCTCTGGTTGACGGGGAGAGGTTGGGTAACTGGAACTTGCAGTTGTGAGACCAGAAGGTCGTGGTTCCGTCCTTCCTTTCCCTTTCTTTGGAGAGCGCGGGTTGCTTTACTATTGAAGACACCAGTTTTTTATTATGAAAATACAATAGAGAAGTTTATATAAACTCTAGTATAAGTCTTAAACCTCCATGCTTGAAAAGCAATAAATAGCGTTTTTAAAATATTATAAGTGGTTTAAATTTTACTGGCAACAATAAAAATGAAATCCTTTTTGTTTTTCTAGCCGGAGATATCCCTGTTCAGTACTGCGCCCAGCCCACCAATGGCATGGTGTATTTCCGGGCCTTCTCCAGCCTGAACACGCTCCCCGAGGAGCTGAGGCCCTATGTGCCCCTCTTCTGCAGCGTCCTCACCAAGTACGATCGCAACACACCCTTGCGTGTCTTACTAACATCTGCTTTGTGTGCTTATCTGTGTTGTTCTAATGCATCAGTAGGAATTACCTTCAGTGAATCACAGCTTACAATGTTAGTGTGTAAGTATGGTGTACAATATATTGGTTTAGAATTTTTTATGAAAGTAACATTTTCTTACTATATTACATTGAAATATTTATGAATCTACGGTATAATGTAAGGATATACTTAGAGATCTCTATCTTAGCATATGAATCTGTGAAGCTTTGGAAAGGGTTGACGGTTTAATCTGAAGGTGTGAGTAATTGGATGTGCCTGCTGCCTGCGTTGCTCCTCCTCCGAGCTGACCTGTAGTTGCTGGCGTCCTCCCTAGGTGGGGTGTGCACAGGTCTGGAAACACACACATGAGTACCCACATCAACACTTGACCTTTTGTCCAGCTCTGCTGTGGCCGAGGTTGCAGGACAAGCAGTAGACAGGGCTGTGGGCTCCCGTTCCTATCCAGGATAATAGGGGGACATGGAACCCTGCAGCCAGCTTCAGAGACCACTGCCCAACCTGACATGCAGCCGGGGTCTTCCCTTTGTGGAGATGAAGTTGTCGGCGTGCTGCAGAAAGCTGCATGGCTGTGACACCTTCTGCACCCTGGCTGAGGGTCTGCTCAGATGGGAAAATGTCTTCATGGGTTTGAAAGTTCCCTGCCTTTTTAAATATGGCTGCCGCTGTTCATCCTTTTGTAGCAGTTTAGAAAACACCTCATGGTCATTCCCTTGACTCAGTTATTTCTGGCATTAGCAGTGTCACTGTGAATGTTTCTTTCACAAGCGTGAGTGCTGTGAGGAAAATACTTTTCTTAAAAATTTAAAAAGTCTTTAGCCTTTGGACTCCCTCGCCCAGGCTACCAGACATTTGAGCAAAGGAAGTTTGTCTCACAGTGGTCTGGGCGAAGAGAGTAGGGGGTCCTCATAAAGCATTTATTGAAAAGCTTACAGCTGGAAATGCGTATTTTAGAATGTTGTTTTGAGTGCAGACACTGGCCACCCAAGTGTCTTGTGCCTCTGGACACTGACTTCCCAGGCGGGAGAAACTGGGGTCTTCCTGGGGGAGGGGACACGTGAACTCTATAGGGCAAAGGTTAGAGCGTGTGCCTGCTTGATGACCTTCGAACTGTAAAGAGGTTGGCAAAGCTGCAGTTATTCAATTAATGGCAGCAACTTGTAATTCAAGATGCACGGTTTTAAAAATGATTCAGTAAGGACTGCCTTGTAATTGGGGCTGTGCTTCTCTGCTGTGTCAGGCTGGGCTGCGGCCTTCTTGACTACCGGGAGCAGGCTCAGCAGATAGAACTGAAGACCGGAGGGATGAGCGCTTCTCCCCACGTGCTCCCTGACGACTCGCACATGGACACCTACGAGCAGGTAGCCTGTTACCGTCAGATGACAGCTGCGGTGGGAAGCTTTTCTCCAGTGTCTGTCACTGTTTGGTTCGGCCCTAATTCCTTTCTTCTCTGTTTTCTTTGGTTCAGGGTGTGCTTTTCTTCTCTCTCTGCCTGGATCGAAACCTGCCAGACATGATGCATCTGTGGAGTGAAATATTTAACAAGTAACTTTATTTGCAAGAGTTGTCCATTCTTGGGGTGTACTAGAGATCTCCATTTGAAGTACTTTAAAGTAGACAATCTTACTTGTGTGTGTTGATTTCCAAGTCTGACTTTTACTTGTAGTTCGTATGGACTTATAAAATTTCTTTGGTCGTTAAAGTAGTCTGCAAACTTACATGTAATCAACTTTCCACGATACTGAAGGGACACGATGAATGGGTCTCCAGGAATTTCTTCTCCTTTTTCCATAGCCCGTGCTTTGAAGAAGAGGAGCACTTCAAGGTGCTGGTGAAGATGACCGCCCAGGAGCTCGCCAATGGAATTCCCGACTCCGGACACCTGTACGCTTCCATCAGGGCAGGCCGGACCCTCACGCCCGCAGGGGACCTGCAGGAGACCTTCAGCGGGATGGATCAGGTAAGAAGCTTGGAAGGAACCTCTGTTACTCTGGTTTAGCCACATATTCCAGAGTTACTGATTTCTTTGGGGATACATTAACTTATGTCCCAGAAATGCTAACTTTCTAACTGACCAAATATGGGGAAGAATTGATTGGTTGGTTTTAACTCATCTTCTTCTTTGTACCACCCTGCACCCCAGTTCCAGCCCTCCTCAAGCCACACACTTGCACACATAACCCCTTCCGATGCAGGGTTCTGATGTCACGGGTGCTTGGTTCAGACTGAGTGGGTCTGTCGTGGCCTCTGCCTCTCTGTGAGCGAGCTTCCTCTGGGGCTGTCGTGGCCTCTGCCTCTCTGTGAGCGAGCATTCTCTGGCTCAGGTGCGACTGATGAAGAGGATTGCAGAAATGACAGACATCAAACCCATCCTGAGGAAGCTCCCGCGTATCAAGAAACACCTGTTAAATGGTGATAATATGAGGTGCATTTGTGATTTGTTTCTAAATATTTTATGATTCATTCTATTAAGCATAGTTTTTAGGTATTTTTTACTTGTAGAAACTTCAAGATAGAAAGTGCTTGGTAAAGGTAAAGGTTACAGAATTTATTGTAGACGTCAAGTGTTCTAATAAACTAAGAAAAAAATATTTTAAGCTTATTAAAAGTTGTAGGAGATGGGGAAGAAAGCAGGCTAATTTTGTTCTAGAGGTGCAAATAGGTTGAGAGCAGTAGTTGTGTTGCTTCCAAAAGCAAATGGTCTGTAACTGAGATATCCGTAAGGGTGAGCTTGCCGAAGGTCAGAGTGAAAGTACAGTTTCTTATATAATTCTGTGATGCTTTGAGGAAATATCTGGCAGCTCAGTCCTACACCTGCAGTTGGCCTTATGTGCCCTCAGGTGTGTGAGCATGAATGAAGTTTAAAAATGATTGACAGTTTTATTTTCAGCATCTTATTGTCAGTGACATTGATGTATTCGTCAGTACTTAACAAGAAAATGTTTGCTGAAGTCACTTGTCCTCCTTCACAGAGAGTCCTGATGCCTTTTGCCAGTCATGTCTTGTGAATCCCTGGCAGATTCTACAGGGCGGTCTGTGGGTGGGCAGAGGTGAAGCCTGGCGATCAGGGGCTCCTGGCATTGGGCTCAGGCCGGCCTGGCTTCTGGTGCCGGGTCAGCGCTCACGCTCGCACCTAGGAGGTCCTGGGCAGCTGACCCACTGGGGCCTTCTGCTTCCTCCTCCATAAAACCTTCCTTTGCAGGTTTATCTTAAGGAATAAAAGAATATCTGCAAGGCAGCATACATGCCTGGGATATAGTTAGTATTAATATAATGGTACCTGCTGTTACTTTAACTAGAGTAAGTTTAGGATTTACAGCCAAAAGGAAAAATATACACTCGGTGAATACACTGTAGAGTTCAAGTAGATTTCATGTGGTAGTAGTATTTGCAATTCTGTAGAATTGAGGAGAGTTCTGTTTTCATGTAACTTTGAGAGCATGGTAATTTTTTGCACTTTATAATGTTCTGCTTTAACAACCAGTTCACATTTTCAAATGGATGACTTCTGGACAGTAATGTTGAAAGCTGTCAGTGTTTTGATAGCGTAGTTCCGAAGGCATGGTTAGCAGATCTTAATAGTCTCTGTATTTTCTTTGCTCTTCGGAAGAACAGGAGTTTAGGGTCTCAGGCTCTGCCTCTGGACGGCTTCATTAGCTGCCACATTGAACTGTGCGGAAATCTCTTGATAACCTGAAGCACTGCAGAGCAGGGAGGCGGCTGTGGTATTTCCACATTTGGCTGCTGTTTGTTTTAACACTGAACATTATTTTCTATAAAACCAACATCATTGAGTTATTGTACAAAATGTGATGAATTACTAGAACTGTTTTTTCTAACAATGGTTTTATGTATACGTAATTTTTAAAACAGGTGTTCAGTGAATGCGACTCCTCAGCAGATGTCTCAGACAGAAAAAGTGGTCGAAGACTTCCTTAGAAGCATCGGTCGGAGTAAGAAGGAACGGAGGCCTGTGCGCCCACACACGGTCGAGGTATGCGCTGATGGTGGTTCTGGCGCCTGGTGAGCGCCTGGCAGGTGCCAGGAGCAGCTGTCATGTTTTACACGTATTAACTCAATTCTCAGAATAGTCCAGCGTGTCGGGGTTCACATCCCCCGTTACGCAGATGAAGAAACTCAGGTTCAGGAGGATTAAATATGTTGTCCAGTGTTGGCCCAGTTAAGTGAGTTCAGACTCTGTGGTGTGGCCTTAGATGCTGCACTCACTTCTGTGCCTTGCAGTGAGTAGTCTGATAGGAAAACAGACTTCGCCTGGGATATGCTGGCATAAGAATGGCCCAAAACCATGGCCTCAAGAAGGCTGCTTTACTGCTGTTTCTATGACTCCCGAATCCATGGATTTGACATAGAACAGTGATGTTGGTGATAACTAATTGAGTAAATTTGATTAACTTACAAAGAGAACTGTAGTCTAGTTCATGGATGTCAGTAGAGAAGCCATGCTCCTCAGTGGACGAGGTTGGCGCTCACGTCTTCTCCTTTGGTGTCTGCGTATCCCTGGTTCAGTTCTGGGTGTGGTGTCTCTGTTGGCCTCTGGGAGTGGAGGCCATGGCAGGTGGCCTCCTGCTGCTCCAGGCCCCTCTGCCTGCAGCCCTTTCACTTTACGTGTCCTCTTGATTTCACAGATTAATGACGAGAAAGTGCAGAAAGAAAGCTTAAAATATTTTCTTTGTACTGTATAACAAGGCTACCTTTTCCTTGACTGTCTGAAAATTTATTTTAAAATTTTCTTAATTTCTTTTATTCACTTTCTGTTTTTAGTTTTTGTTATTTTGAGACAGGGTCTCACTCTGGCACCCAGGCTGGAGTGCAGTGGTGCCATTACAACTAGTTGCAGCCGTGACCTGGGCACAAGTGATCCTCCCGTCTCAGCCTCGCAAGTAGCTGGGGCTATAGGTGTGCACCACTGTGCCCAGCTAATTTTTAAAAATTTTTTGTTGAGATGGGGGCTTACTACATTGCCCAGGCTGGTCTCAAACTCCTGGACTCAAGCAGTCCTCCCACCTTAGCCTCCAAAGTGCTGGCATTCTAGGCATGAGCCACTGTGCCCAGCCTATTTTTATTTTCTGTCCTTTTTTTTTTTAAGCGTTTATTATTTAAAACACTTAAACAAGTCTGCCCTAACACTTGTTATATTAGCTCTGTGAATTTTATAAACTCTGTTCCTTCTTTTTTTTTTTTTTTTTTTTTGAGACAGAGTCTTGCTCTGTCACCCAGGCTAGAGTGCAGTGGCCGGATCTCAGCTCACTGCAAGCTCCGCCTCCCGGGTTTATGCCATTCTCCTGCCTCAGCCTCCTGAGTAGCTAGGACTACAGGCGCCCGCCACCTCGCCCCGGCTAATTTTTTGTATGTTTAGGAGAGACGGGGTTTCACTGTGTTAGCCAGGGTGGTCTCGATCTCCTGACCTCGTGATCCTCCTGCCTCGGCCTCCCAAAGTGCTGGGATTACAGGCGTGAGCCACCGTGCCCGGCCCACTGTTCCTTCTTATATATTTCAAGTGAGTTCTGAATTTTTGTCTTTTCTCTTGGAAACTTGATTTTTAGAAACCTGTGCCCAGCAGCTCTGGTGGAGATGCCCACGTTCTCCATGGCTCCCAGATCATTAGGAAGCTGGTCATGGTAAGAACCACAGCCCATCTGGGTTCCCAGCAGGCGGGTGCTTCCCTCCACGGCTGTGTCTGCCGCTGTTGGTGAACGTTCCTCCGTCCGCCTGTCCGTGGGGCTGGCGTGTCCCTAGACTTGCGAGTTCAGTGCGTCCTTGGTCACTGCCACCCTGAGCCTTTTCTCTCTGAGACAGTGCTGAGTGAAGGCCCTGGTGGGAGTGTGTCCTCCTGTGTCGAGGAGGTGCGGCCCCTGGTACGGGGTGCGTCTTCCCTGTGCCCAGGAAGAGGGCTACTGCTCCGTGCGGTCTCCTCCCGGGCAACTCACCCTCCTTTGAACGTAGCTCCTGAGCCAAGTCGACTCCAGTGGGGCAGCCTGACAGATCCTTTCCCCCACTCAGCCTGGTGCTGATGCTGTTTGGTTTGGTTCCTTGTGGAGTGGAGTGATTTAACATATTCCTATGGTATAATATGATATGAAACATAAATATATAACTATGATATAAGTGGTATAGAATGAAATGTTTTTAATTGAACAGTATACTTTAAAGCATCACGTCAAGATTGGAGGACTTCATGTCCGTTTTACAGTGAGAAATAGTGTGGAGCGACGTAACTGCAGTGCCTTGCTCTTGCGTCCCAGCACCTGGCTGCAGACTGTCACGGAGATGGGACCCCTGAGATGGGTTCAGTCCCAGCGTCGTGGGTGGTGCGTGGCAGCACGGCCGCCTCTGACCACACCTTGTCCCTCAGGAACCCACCTTCAAGCCCTGGCAGATGAAGACTCACTTCCTGATGCCCTTCCCGGTGAATTATGTGGGCGAATGCATCCGAACTGTCCCCTACACGGACCCAGATCATGCCAGGTAGGAGGGTGGAGGTCGGGACCTCTCAGGCCTGAGCCTTATGGAAGCAGCTGGTCAAGCCTGTTCGAGTTCACAGGGCATGTTTTAGCACAGGAAGAGTCTGTATTGACTCTGAGTGTTGGACCTGGGGCTGCGTGAGTCTACGAGCGGCCTCTTTAAACAGCAGAGGCTTTATGAACAAAGGCCCAGCTTTAGAGCCAGTCATTTTTGTAAACAATTTATTATTGAGTCCTATAAACAAAACAGATATTTATGACCCTAAACACAGACTCCTTTCAAAATGCCCCATGTACTCATCTCATCTCTAGGTAAAAATTGCATGGATTTAGGCTGAGACCTCTGATAAACATGGTAGATTAAGCCTTCGTGAGGACAGATGCATGGAATGACAGTAAAGGTAGATCAAGACACGAAGCCACAAGGGAGAGTGGGAGGTGACCCAGGCAGCCATGGGGGCTGCAGGAGAACCTCATGAGCCAGACTGTGGGTGGGTGGGGGGTGCCTGACCCAGGGCCACAGAGGGACAGGACGGTGGGGAGAAACCGGGTGGTCCTGCAGAGCCCTGCAGATGGCAGGGCTGGAGGCCGCCTCACAGTCCCTCTGAGGAGTTTGCCTCCCCTGTCTCCCCACCAAGTCAGAAGCTCAGAGAAGGAGGCCCTGGGTTGAGCGGCCGAAGCCACAGCCGAGAGTGAGGGTCAGGCCTGTTCCCAAAGTGGCGTGGGGCGAGGGAGTTTGCAGCCTACGGACTGGCCCTCCAGCCCCTTCTTCCGAAGTGTGGCTACCCCTCGGCTGTGTTCATCCCATCTGCGGAAACTGGCCAGACCAGGAGGACAGATTCATCGACATGCACCTTTGGGGACCCGTCAGTTGGGTGTGGATGACACAGATCTGTGCATACATGTTATATCCCGGAAATTCACTTCCTGTATCCTTGTCCCAGGCAGCTACCCCCATGAGGGACTAAACCAAGGAGGAGACCCCCAGGGTCTGGCTCCAACCTCGCTGGTCCCAACTGACGGCGACCCAGCCACCCGAGTGGTGCTGCGTTTCTCCTGGAGGGCCCACACGAGTTGGTTGTGACTTCTCCCAGCACAGCCCCTGGGAACACGCCCACTCCTTCCTTGATTTCCCACCTGGCCTATTTGACCCCCCCTTCATCTGCTTTGGGAAATGGCACATCTGTGGAAGTGGTGACCCGGGGCTGATCTCGCCACGGGCGTCTTTAAGGAGCCTGTGTCTTTGCTGCAGACGCTACCATCATTGCCTGCCCTGCCTTCTGTCGGAGGTGGATGTGTTCTGGAATCATCTAGAATGTGATGTCACCACTTGCAGTGGAAGGCAGAGGAAATCAGCCCCGTTCCTAGAAATGTGCTTTATCGGAGAGTGTGTGTTTTCTTAAGGGATTCCTATACTCAGAGTTTGACTTCAGTTTCCTTTTTTTTCCATATTCAGATGTGAGACATTTAAATGTTCATTTGCACATTTGCCTTTACAATAGAAATAACCTCTTTCTGCTTTACCAGATTCTAAAAATGCCACATATGCATTGGAACAAGTTAAGCAGTGTGGTGCTGGAAGTGTTAGATTCCCTCCCCACCACCTCTCCCTTCGACCCTGTAATCCAAGCCAACTGCTTGAAAATTGTGCTTCCTTGTGCTTTTTAGTTTTTGTTAATTAAAAAGAAAATCTCATGCCTGTAAGCCCAGCACTTTGAAGTTAGGAGGATCACTTGAAGCCAGGTGTTTGAGACCAGCCTGGGCAACAAAGCTAGACCCTGCCTCTACAGAAACTGTAAAAATAGGCGTGGTGGCACGCACCTGTAGGCCCGGCTACTCAGGAGACTGGTGGGAGGATCCCTTGAGCCCAGGAGTTCAAGGCTGCAGTGAGCTGTGATTGCACTAATGCACTCCAGCCTGGGGACACAGTGAGACCCCATCTCTTAAAAAACAAGACCAAAAAAATGGGACCATAATTTATACGGCATTATTTTAAAACTTGATTTTATTTTCATTTTCACTTAATCCAATAATTACTTCATTGTCTATATGCTTTTTATCAGCCATGGTGTTTTTAACTTGTATTTTTAAATCATTTCAGTCTTAAAATCCTTACACGTTTGATGACTGCTAAATTCTTGCATACGGAAATTCGAGAAAAAGGTGGCGCTTACGGTGGAGGCGCAAAACTCAGCCACAGCGGGGTTTTCACCCTTTACTCTTACAGGTGAGCTTTGCTCCAGTTCACACATTGGGACGCACACGGTGTTTCAGTTTTCTACTCATGATTATCTGTCATTTTCTTCTACTGCAGTGAACTTTAGACAAAAGTTGTTCTATGTGCTGCTTTTCACTTCTCGAGCACTTAGCCACTCCCAGCAATGTCCTTTCTGGTGCAAGGATTGGGGCCAGCAGCCGAAACGGGAAGCCTTCTGCCTTCAGTAAACCCTGGCTTCAGCCAGCAGATTTTGGCAGAACACGGCAGTGCCTCCATCCACGGTTTTGCCTTCCACAGTTTATTACCCAGTCACCCTCGGTCTGAAAATATTAAATGGAAAGTTCCAGACATAAACACTTCGGAAGTTTTAAATTGTACACCATTCTTCTTTCTAAGCAGTGGGGTGAAAGCTGACGCTGTCTACAGTACCTGCCTGTTGGTCACTCAGTGGCCATCTAGGTTATCAGATACACTGTGGATATCCAAGAGCTTCTGTTCACAGAACCCTTGTTTTACTTAGCATAACTTTTATTACAGTATAATTGTTGTATTTTGTTAATATCTTGCTGCACCTAATCTATACACTTTTTCATAGGTATAGGAAAAAAACACAGTATCCATAGTGGCTGTCTGAGGCTGCAACCCTGCTCTGGGGGGCTGCGATACAGCCTGAGAACATTCTTAGCTCATTTCAGTTGGAGGTGCCTGATGTGAATGCAACTGTTAGCTTTCATAAACATAACACCGTTATTCTAAAACAATAAATTCTTAATTGTCTATGGCTTTGCTGCCCAAGAGAACATATAACACTTTTTAAGGAGGAGCTGGCCACCCGTGGTGGCAAGTGCCTGTGGTCCTAGCTACAGGAGGCTAAGGCGGGAGGATCCCTTGAGCCTAGGGAGGTTGAAGCTGCAGTCAGCAGATTATGCCACCGCACACCAGCCTGGGCGACAGAGTGGGATCCTGGCTCATGGATGCAGAGATAGATTAGGTAGGTAGGCGGGCATGTAGGTAGAGAAGTCGGTAGCCGTTGCCACGCTGCTGCGTTCTCCCCCTTGCTGTGCTGGAAGCCACTCTTCTAGACAAGGATGGGGAAGCAGCTCGCAGCCCCTCTGCAGCTCTGAGTCAGGGTGAAGGGAGGGCCTGGCTCTTTCCATTTACACAAAGGGAAGTCTGGACCGGCCCCCTCAGGCTGATTCCTGTACTGCCCTGGGTGTGTCCTTAAGGGAGATTAAAGGAAAACCTTTGCTTGATTTTTCCATGGGAGTCTTCTGTAATTTCCTTGTAATCTTGACCTGCCCCCACCCTCCACATCTTTCCTCTCCTGATGAGGTCACAGAGAGGTGGATTTAAATCATCTGGGGAGGACGTTATGCAGACAGACCCTGTCTAAGAGGGAGAACGTGTTGAAAGTCTTATGTGATGGGATTTAAATTTCCACTGAGAGTAATTGAGCAATTTGTCAGTGGGCTGTTTGGACTAGATCAGATGTAAAATAGAGCTGTTAACACATAGAAGATGGTGAACTGATAAGTCACAGGTTTGTCATAAACTTGTCGGTTGGTAAAATGCTTGCCTGTTTATTTCTCTGGGTTTCCTAGGGACCCAAATACAATAGAGACGCTCCAATCTTTTGGGAAGGCTGTTGACTGGGCAAAGTCTGGAAGATTCACACAGCAAGACATCGACGAAGCCAAACTTTCTGTCTTCTCAACCGTAGATGCTCCTGTTGCTCCTTCAGACAAAGGTATTGTGAGTGTAACAGTGAGAATCTCAGTCCACAGCCTCGCAGATGACGTTGCTGTTTTCCGAGTCCCCTCATGCACAGGCAGGAGCACCAGCTTCTGGCGTCTCCGTCCTTGCCTGTGATACGATTTCCACGTCTGACACCCTAAACATTGGCCTTGGAAACACGCTTCCCGACATCCGGGCGAGAAGAGTGCATCCTGTCATTTCAGTTTTACTGACCTGAGGCCCATTGGGGCCAACCCACGGCAGTGTCTGGGCTCATTAGGGTGGAAGGACGATGTGGGCACGGCCCAGGCCTGGCCACATTACTCTGTAGAACCACTTTTGCTCACAGCATTATCAGCCTCACGCGGCCCTGAATGCATCCACGCTGCAGAAGCAGGCCTTGGTAAGAGTCAGCGTGGCTCGCTGGGAGCTGGGAGCCACGCTGACTCTGGGAGCTGGAGGTTAGGGTGTGATCTCTGGGCTGTTAGACATGTCCCTGTGGTTGAAACATGTATGTGAAGTAACAGTGAGATGCACCTGTCCCCTCCGGGACACGAGGGCACAGCCCACTGTGCGAGCTCCTGGGCGGCAGCCCCACCATGCCTGTGGTTTGTCTTCTAGGAATGGACCACTTCTTGTACGGCCTCTCGGATGAGATGAAGCAGGCCCACAGGGAGCAGCTCTTCGCCGTCAGCCACGACAAGCTCCTGGCTGTGAGCGATAGGTGAGTGGGGAGTGCCGGAGACAGCGCCTGGGATTGGAGGCCTTAACAGCACTGACGCAGAAGCCAGTCCTTGCTGACCTCGCCTGCCTTCCTCTCAGGTACCTCGGCACTGGGAAGAGCACGCATGGCCTGGCCATACTTGGACCCGAGAACCCCAAAATCGCCAAGGACCCATCCTGGCTCATCAGATGAGCGGCCCTGGTGCCCCCGACTGCGCAGGAGCTCCTGAGACAACAGGCCTCTAGAGCTGAATATGAAAAGTCAGAAATGCTACTGCTTTTTCCAAGAATATTATGTCATTCTTAAGGTGTTGCCACTGACTGGCAAGTCAATCTTAAGAGCGACCAGGAAGATGTCCATTGAAATAGTCATGCATGAAATGCCAAAGATGCACCACGTAGAATTTTCACTTTCTACTGACAGAAAGGCTTGTTTTACCTCAATTCTAGAATATTTATTTAAGAATCTAAAAATAAAGGGCAACTCTGACTTAACCTCTGCTTGAGTCATTATTTTAAGTAGGCCCATTATTTTAAGGGCCTTTACTAAAAAACAGAAGTGAAATGAAAAGGTACACAAAGGTGTCCCACGCCTGCTTGTGCCGATTCATGAAACTCGATCACACCGAGGCCCTGTGAGAGCGTCCTCCTAACAGACGGAAGTTCAGCGGGGCGGTCGGATGGAAGCAGTCCTGAGAAGCAGGTGGGCTGGGGTGAGGAAGCGCTCGCTTCATCTTTACAGAACCAGAAAGGAAAGCCTCCACGCCAGCTCTTCTTGGCCGTTGGACTCTGATTTCCCCAACAGCTTGTTTTTGGTGTCTCCTCTCCCTCCACACAGCTCTCCGCCGCCGTTTCTGAGGCACAGCTGTGGTCTCTTGCAGACTAGAGCTACGAGGCAGAAACGCTGTCCCGACAGCAGGGGGGCCCACGAGGGTGGCAGGGCCGTCACCCCAGCACCCATGTCTACTCTGGCAAGAGTCATCGGAGAGTTCCAACCTAGGTCCCAGCGAGGACCGTGGCTTGGACTGGACGAGAAACTGGCTATCAGATTTTTCGAACCCCCACCTTGGTGGTTTTAACATGCAGCTAGGATTGCAATCAAGAGGCCGAGTAGGTAAGATTCATGTGTTCTCTTTGACTTTCTAAGGAGAGCAAGAGCCTGGGGTTGAGGCCCAGGGTCCTGGCCTGCTGCTGTGGATGGAAACTGACACATGGTAATAAACATGGCGTTCCCCTTGGCCTGTGTAAACTACTGGCTTTGTTCTCCTTTTATGACTTATGCATAGTTCAGTGATCTCTATAAAAATATTTTTATAATCTTTGCCCACAAAACTGCTGAGAAAACCTTTAGCAGCCACCCACAGATTGAGGTTTTCATCTCCTACTTAAAAAACGAAAACGGAGGACTGTTGGAGTTGTAGGCAAACGTTTAATACGCACATCTGAAAGCATGAGACAGTCCACAGACAGCACGCACTGGAGCTGGTGGGGCACACGGGCGGTGACAGGTGCTTGCTTGTTAGGTATTAATGTCAATAATACTTGCATAAAGTGCTGATAAATAACTTAAGTGTTACAAAAACAGATGGTCCACGGTGAGTCCAGGTTGCAGGCACATGCAGGCAGGACTGGGTCAGACGCTCCAGGGCTGCACGTGCTCTAGCTGGCCTGAGTCCGACACGTCGTAGCTGGCCTTGTACTTGGCCAGGATCTTCATGAGGGGCCGCAGCTTGAGCCACCACTGTTCTTTGGGAATCCTGTGCCTGTGGAGGGAAGGGGGGACAGCAGTGAGGCTGAGAGATGCCACGGCCAGCACAGTGAGTGGCCTTGCCAGAAACACGAGGGTTGTAGGGTTAGCTGAATCTCAGTTTCAGGGTCAAATGAAACCATTGTTTTTATATTTTTAAAACTTCTTCCCAAAGACCTAGTGGTGGTTTTTTGTTGTTTTGAGATGGAGTCTTGCTCTGTCCCCAGGCTGGAGTGCAGTGGTGTGATCTTGGCTCACTGCAACCTCTGCCTCCCGGGTTCAAGCGATTTCTCCTGCCTCAGCCTCTTGAGTAGCTGGGACTACAGGTGTACACCACCACGCATGGGTAATTTTTGTATTTTTAGTAGAGACGGGGTTTCACCATGTGGGCCAGGCTGGTCTCCATCTCTTGATTTTGTGATCCACCCACCTAGGCCTCCCAAAGTGCTGGGATTACAGGCATGAGCCACCAGCCTGGCCAAGACCTAGTATTTTTTCACTGAGCTTCAGAAAAGCTAGTTCCTCAAACCACTGAATGAGTTGTCGAAAGCAACAGCAATGGCCATTCCCCTGTCCTGTACTCACATTGGCTGGGTTTGCTAAGGCTGTAAGACCCCAACTTACTCAAAATCCGTTTGCTGCTTCAGCTCTGCCACAGGTTGAAAAATAACGTTTCTTTTGCTTATTCCCAGCACGCAAACGGAATCATCGGTGGTAAATTTTTTTCCTATAAAAGGTTTAAAAAAAGATTAACACCCTGTCACATGGGTGGCGGGAGAGCAGAATCACGAGGCGAGATGAGAAGTGAGATTCCTGGGAACCATGCTGAACCTGGCCTGGAAGCCCGGGTGAGGCTGAGAACAGCCGCGCAGTGTGGCCAGCGCCTGGGCTTGCGCAGCTCTGCTCTTGTGGGATCGCCCTGATGGCTTCCTGGAAAGCAGCTTTTGTTTTTTCTCTCAGTGGAGAGAATTTTTCACTAAATAGTAGAATAGGGAAATTAGCTTACATTACGACAAAACACTAATAAAAAATTGATGCTCACGAATACACACACTGAGAGGCGAGAAGCATCCATAGCTAAATTAGCAAAAGAAAATCGATGTAGAACGAATCAGTCAGTTCTTCAAAAAGACAAACCAATTGAAACTATTCACATCAATGCTTTTGTAGACTGTCATTATTCTATGTCGGACGTTGGCAGTGATAATGGTTTGCCCTAAGAAAAGCACACATCTGGTATGACTGAAGAAAGCTGAGGGGGGTGGGGGCGAGAAAGATGCTGGCACAAACAGCCACTCAGGAATGAGTGGGGACCAGCCACATTGGAACCATTAACAAGAGTATTATACAAAATGTCATGTTTTTTAAAACTTTTCAGTTTATCTAAAGATTTGTTAGAATATGTAACTTGCAAAACTGATTTAAGGAAAAACATGCATAGTTCTACAAACATGAACAATTCATTCAGCAGCCAAATCTTCCTCAAAACTGGAAGTTCTGATGGATGGAGTCCCAAGGAGGTTGTCCTACCAAACATCCAAAAAATAGAAGGCCCCACTTAAACTGTGAGGGGAACTGCAGGTTGAATCTAGCAGTGATCAAAGAGAACATGTCACCCACGCCCAAGCTGACCTTATCCCAGGAATCCACGGTTGGTTAAATAGCAATGCTCAGGGACCAGCAGGAGTTAGAACATCACACGCAGCTCAGTACTGGACTGAAGAAGGAACCAGTATACCCTACTTCTCCCTGATAGGACAGCATTTTCACCAAGGCAGATGGCCTCCCTCCCCGGACCCCTTACCTCTGCCCCGGGCCTCCTTGAGTTTCGCAGTGATCCACTCCATAGCTCTGGCAGAGATTTTGGTTCCAAAATTTCTATCAAATGGAGAGGGTGCCCCACCCTGTTGGTGGTTAGAGTCATATGAAATATCAGTTATACAGTAACACTTTGCTGTTAAATAGAAATGACGATTTCTATTTCACAGAATTCATGTTTTTATTTCTAGGTCTTTATGGATAGCTGGAACAGAACAAAACAAGATCTGTGATTCCTGTAGCCTGAACTCAGCCTGTTAAGCAAAAGTAGCAAGTGTTCCCCCTGCCCAGTAAGAGGAGGATTTTAATAAATGGAACGAGTCAACTAACAATCTCCAATATTTTAAAATCTTCAATCAGGATTTCATAAACTCATCTGGGGTGGGGATGGGTCGCAGCTTTAAGAACCTGATAACCGTTGTGGATTCTTTAACAAAATCACACATACACCTACTATTTCATCATCATTTCAGGGGATTCATCAGCCCTCTGGAATAAATTCATGGGCTCTGGTTTAAAAGTATAAAGAATAGGAGGTGGTGAGGAAGGAGTGTGTGCGAGTTAGGAGGCCTGGACTGCTGTGTCCCAGGCTCAGCTCATGACATGCGTGTGCCTGCATGCAGCTCATTCCAGGTCATTCTGATTTGGGGTGTCAAGTATATTACATGTCTGATAATCCATTTTAAATCTTAGGAAGCTCCAGTTTTTAACTTGATGAAGTGTTTAATTTGAATAAGCATTTCCAAGTAATGGGGGTGTCATTGTTTTCATGAAAGCTGACAGCTCCCTTAAAATCCCCATTACTCAATACTCAAACCTCACCAACAAAAGAATCCTAAAGCTGGTGATGTTTGGCATGACTTAAAAGTTTAGATGTTTTGGCTGGGCACAGTGGGGATCACGCCTGTAATCCCACCACTCTGGGAGGCTGAGGTGGGCGAATCACCTGAGGTCAGGAGTTTGAGACCAGCATGGCCAATGTGGTGAAACCCCATCTCTACTGAAAATACAAAAATCAGTTGGGCGTGGGGCGCCTGTACTCCCATCTACTCGGAAGGCTGAGGCAGGAGAATCTCTCGAACCTTGGAAGGTGGAGGTTGCAGTGAGCCAAGATCGTGCCACTGCACTTCAGCCTGGGCAACAGAGCAAGACTCTCTCTCAAAAAAAAAAAAAAGTTAAGATGTTTTTTATCATCTTGGAATTTACTTACACATTTTCCCCTAAAATGGCTAAAACAAGACCTTAATCTTTAAAAATCACACGACAGTGGCCTTGCGGGCCCCTCATGCGGCCTCGGGCCTACCTGCTGCATGTGGCCCAGCACATTCTTCCTGCAGTCAAATACGCCTTTGCCCTCTTCCGAATAGAGCTGGTAAATGAAGTCGGTGGTGTAGTTTTCACTGCAGCTCTCATTTCTGAAACAAGCAGGAAGGAGCCACTTTGTTGAGTGTGCAGTGGGCACGCGGCCCCCTGCTTGGGGAGATGGCCCTGGGAGGCTGGCCTCCCGCGTCCCCTGACCTACGGTGATTCTGCATCAACGCCAGTCCCTCCAGTTCACGGTTTGGCTTTCTGCAGTTGCAGCTACCCATGGTCAAGTGGTCAACTGAGGGCCACAAATATTAAATGGAAAATTCCAGAAATAAATATGTAAGTTTTAAATTGCACACCATTCTGTGTGATGAAATCTCGTGCTGTGTTGCTCTGTCCCACCCAGAACGCGAATCATCCCTGTGCCCTAAAGTCTCCATGCTGTGGAGACTGCCCCGAGTCACTCAGTAGCCGCCTTGGTTATCAGATGGTTATCAGTACCCACCCCCTCATGTATACAGGGGGCGGGTACTATCCCCAGGTTCAGGCACCCACTGGAGACTTGGGACACATTCCCTGAGGCTAAGAGGGATGACAATTTCCTTCTTCCTTCATAAACATCAGGTGCTAATTAGAGAAATGATTGCGAGATATCTAAAAGAGTAAGACTATAAAGCAAAAATTTTAGTTGTCTAAATGCTGGCAAGTTTTTAGAGCAATGCACCACCACGCTCTTCTGCATCTGCTCAGCGTGTAGTGCACTCCAGCGGCAAAGAAATCACCACTCATCCAGCCCAGAGTCACAGACCAGAATCTAAGAACCGCGGTGTGACGGTGACCATAAGATCAGCCCTGGTCTCTCACTCACCTGAGCACAAGGCCCCTCTGGATGGTGGTCTTCATTTTCTCCGTCAGGTGCTCCACATTGGACTGGAAAAGAGTATTTTGTTAATCAGACAATAAATTTCTGCTAAGCAGCTACTGTGTGCCAGGCCCTGCAGGGCGGGAAGTGCCAACCACGCGTGGTGGTGAGTTGGCCAGGAGGCTGCAAGCTCTCACGGCTCGCGTCTCGGGGAGCCTCCCCCAGGCGGCGAGAGCACGTCTGCGGCGATGAATGCCGAGCACAGGGCACTCAGGTGAGCAGCCCTCACGGGGGCCACTTGAAACGCCTTCTGGAATCAACAGGGTCCCTCTGAAGATGAAAATTCCGTGACTGGCCTAGTGCTCATTCATGGCTCTATTGTTCCTTATTTATTTTCATGACGATGTTCTCTCGGCGCTCTCAGAGGAAAAGAGCGACCTGTGGCCTTTCTATGGAATCTCCTATGACGGCCTGATGAACAGTGTCTGACCAGAGAATTTTGTAAACTCTCATCCACACACAGATTTCTTAAGGAACACATTGTCTTAGAAAAGAGTAACATCCTACATCAGATCATCTTGGGAGGATTGCAAGAGGGAGGTAATTCTCTAATGACTTATCCTAAGAAAATGGAGATTTTTTACATCTAATCAATCTGTCACTGGGCACGGTGGCAGAATTTCACAAAGTAGGAGCCTGGGCGCAGTCGCTCACGCCTGTAATCCCAGCTCTTTAGGAGGCCAAGGTGGGTAGATTGCCTGAGGTCAGGAGTTTGAGACCAGTCTGGCCAACATGGTGAAACCCTGTCTCTACTAAAAATACAAAAATTAGCCAGGCATGGTGGCGGGTGCTGTAGTCCCACCTACTTGGGAGGCTGAGGCAGGAGAATCACTTGAAGCCAGGAGGCTGAAGTTGCAGTGAGCTGAGATTGTGCCACTGCACTCCAGCCTGGGTGACAGAGCGAGACTCCATCTCAACAACAACAACAAATCATAATTTCTCTTCTCAAGCTCTTGCCATGTTGAGTGCTGGTGAGGCAGGATCTTTGGACAGATTTCTGAAATACGGTCATGAGTCACATAACAGGGGGATATGTTCTGGAGAAATGCATTGCTAGGTGACTTAAGCCTTGTGCAAACATCCTACAGTGAACTCTCACAAACCCAGGAGGTAGGGCCTGCCACACACCTGTTGTTCCTGTCTACAAACCTGAATGTCTGGGACTGTTGAATACTGCAGGCAATTGTGTATCTAAACATGTCTAGATGTAGAAAAGCACCGTAAAAAATATATTTTTTATATATATATTTTAATATATATAATCTTTTAATAAAAGATAAAAAACAGTACACCTGTTTGGGGTAGCTCCATTATCATCTTAAGGGACCCACCGCTGACAGAAACATCGCGATGCAGTGAATGACTCCACAAATATTTAACTTGACACAGTGAAGAAATTCGTGATTCACATGTCACGTAATTAGCGACAACACCAAGGCCCTTTTTACTTGATCTATTTGGCTCAGAAACAAGTAACATCCTAACTTTTTAAAAGACAATGGTGCCGGGCACGGTGGCTCACACCTGTAATCCCAACACTTTGGGAGGCCGAGGTGGACAGATCACGAGGTCAGGAGTTCAAGACCAGCCTGACCAACATGGAAACCCCATCTCTACTAAAAATACAAAAATTAGTTGGGCATGGTGGCACGCGCCTGTAACCCCAACTACTCGGGAGGCTGAGGCAGGAGAATGGCTTGAACCTGGGCGTCGGAGGTTGCAGTGAGCCGAGATCGCGCCACTGCACTCCAGCCTGGGTGACAGAGCCATATATAACATATATTTATTTATATAACTAAATAAAGACAATTGTTCAAGTTGCATTTTATCTGCCAAGGCCTCTCATCCTGCATGGAGTTTAGCAACTTTGAACACTGCAGGGTCCAGGCCTGGATTCTGCTGTGCCATCCAAGCAGGGGCAGACCCCGGGCTCGGTGACCCTCTTCCCTAAAAGAGCCACAGATGCCAAGAAACCACGGCTGTGTCTGTGTCTGTGTCAGTTCAGAGGCAGACGCAGCATCAGAGGCCTCAAGATTTAAAAGAAGCTGCAGCAAGCTTCAGAGCCAGTCGCAGACGTGGGTGGTGACTGTCAGCGGAGGCACTCAAATCGTTTGTGACAGAAGTGAGAAAACATTACACAACAGACTACATCAAAAAAACAAGCTTGTGTTTCACACAAGAGACTAGAAGGTGTCCTCAACCAGGCACGTCTGCCGTCACCTGACACTCAGGAGAGGCACCTGGGCGATGCAAAGGGCATCAATCGTGGCGTGTTCTGTAGCACCTCCGTCTCCAAAACCCCTAGACACGATGATGCACTCCGCAGCACCGAGTGGATCCAAAGGGGACGGTCCCCCAAGGCCAGCCCCCGTCACATACCTGCAGATCCCTGATGTCAAAGGGCTCTTCGAAAATGTATGCGGCATCGGCTCCGGCCGCGAGCCCCCCCATGTTGGCCAGGTAGCCACAGTAGCCGCCCATGGTCTCGATGATGAACACGCGCCGCTTGGTTCCGCTGGCAGACTGCTTGATGCGGTCGCAGGTCTGGTCACAGAGAAAAGATCAGTCACTCCAGCCCAGGGCCAGGGTGCACCCACCATCCCAGAGCTCCCCGACCAGTGAGTGCAGCAAGCAAGGCCCCCCACCGCGCCTGAGCATGCGGTCCCAGCATCGCAGAGGTGAAGGGTGTGCAGCAGCTGGGATGTGCCCTTGGAGCGGGTGTGAACATGCCCCCCCACCCCACCGTGGCAGCCACCTGGAGGTGACCTCGATGACCTGTGGTGGGGGCCTGGCCATCTGCCGCTCCCTTCTCCCAGGCCCCATAGGAGGAGACTGAAAAGACGACCCCACAAGCCAGCTCACTCCACGCTGCTCTCTGACTATCCCTGCTGAAGCAGCTTTCACCTGACACGGACACCGTTAGGTGTCAGCTGAGAAGTTAGGGGGCTGTCACCTGCCAGCTTAGTCCACGGGAACAGCTGTGCTATTCTATTTTCTTCTGTTAAAGCTCCCTATGATTTTAGAGCTGTGGCCATCTTCCATCCATCAGGGAATGTTACATTTATAGAAACTCTACTCAAAGGCAGAGTGTGGTTCTTAGACCCAGGCACCTGGGGAGTCTTTCGGATGCATAGGCATCAGGTCCCCGAGTGAAATGTCTGCCATCCGCCCTCCACGAGGACCCAAGCTCAGTGGGGAGAAAAACAGCAGAGAAATGCATGGACGCCTTCCCACCCACACACCAGTCCGGGCTGCAGCACGCTTTCCTGGGACTCTGCAAAGCCTCTCCCTGGGCCTCAGCTCCCACCCCAGCACCTTCCAATCTGTTCACAGACTGGAGACCCATCTATAAAAAACATAAATCTGATCCAGTCATTCAAAACGCTTTGCTCACTTCAAGTACACGTCAATCCTTTCTCTGGAATCTCTGGCCCCACCTGCTTCTGATACCAGGTTCTGCTCTAGCTCCAGCCACCCCAGGTGGGGCCTCTGGATATGCTGGCTGCTGTGTGCATTCAGGTACAGTGGTGGGTGGGAGAGCAGCCCCCAAAGGAATCCCGGTCCTAATGCCTGGAACCTGAGAATGTTCCCTCATGCGGTGATAAAGGTGAATCCTGAGGACTACCCAGGTGGGCCCTAAGTGCCACCACCTGGATCGGCAGATGAGGGGTGCAGAGGCTGAAGGCCCTGGAGCAGGATGCTGCGCACCCACATGGGAGGAGGCGGTGCCAGGGAACAAGGTGTGCAAGGCCCGCAGCTCTGGGCACCTGAATGGGCCACGAGGGACTCTCCTGGAGCAAACACTCTGGCCTCAGCCCATGGCTCCTGCCCTCCAGAGCTGTGGGAGAGTGAGTAGTATTTTCCAGCCCCAGGTGTGTGGTCAGTGTCACAGCGGCCACGAGACACACACACACAGGCACCTTCCTCAGCTCTGACCCAGAGGGAAATGCCATTTCCTCAGGAAAACGCCACCTGGTTTCTAGGACCACAAAGTTCCCTCTGTCAGGGGCTCTCGGGGCACCCCATGTCCTCTCTTCATAGAAGTCACCCCGGTGTCTCTCCCTGCAGTTACCTCATGGTTATTTGACTTTTAGTCCTCACTAGGCTACAAATTCCATGAGGGCAGGAACTGTGGGCTGGGCTTACACCACTGCACCATCAGCAGGACCCGGCCAAGCCCCTACAGCAGGCGCTCAAGAAATGCTTGTCTCTGAATGACATAAGCACAGTATTCTCCAGCCAGCCAGCCGTCCTGGTCAAGGGCTGATCCTGCAGGATTCCCTAGCCGGCCTCCATGGGACTCAGCCAAGAGTAAAAGCATGAAGTGGGGGTGTGGACTGGAGACTGGGGGCCACATGAGAATCTGTGCACCAAAGTTTAACACCCACTGGGAAATTTTCACTTGAGATCTTCGGATGAAATTTAAAAGCGCACTTTTTTGAATAAACACAGGCTTGATTAAACCATTCCGACCTATACTTCGTTTCTTTGGCAGATTCTTTTCCTCCCAAAATAATTGGTTGATGTATTCAAAACTGAACACGGGCTCTAGTTAGCGGGCCACTTTGCATTGTGTAGAAGCCGAGATGGGGAGAGAAACAGGCAATGGGAAGAATTCCCGTCTTTGTGCTTAGGAAGGACAGAGGACAGAAGCCTATCAAGGGTCCAAAGAGTCCACAACTGCCTTCTTGAGGGGCCAGTGCAGCATTCTGAGGGCTTCACTGTTCCACCTGTACTGGGTCTCTCTCTAATTGTGATCTAAGACTTAGGAGGCCGTAAGGCTTTAAGACTTGCCCTTTGTCTTAGAGAATCTCGGGCACGGGAAGGAAAATGTGGGTGGGGCATCAGGATCCCCAGGGGCACAAAGCCTCATGGGTGATTTTTCCAACTGAATCTCCCCCGCAGCCCACCCTGAGGTGGGGAATTACTGTCACTCATTCAAAGAATGACATCAACCGCTTAAAGGCAAAAGAATTCTGCAGGTAAGCAGCTCTCCCAAGAGGCTGATTTGTGCCCCAGCATGTCTGAGTTCTGCTCCCGCCAGGCTGCTGCTGTGGGTGCGTGGAACAGCGCAGCCCTGACACCTGAGCCACGACCCCCTGACACCTGAGCCACGTCCCTGACCGTGTGCTCCTCTCAGTGTAAACGCAGTGACAGCTGGGACGGAAGAGTCCGCCTTTGCTGGAGCTCAGATACAGCTTTCCTGAACTCTCTCATTACCTAGATGGTGTCTTAAGCCTGAATTAGCTTCTAAAAATAGCAAGTCACTCCGGTGGTGCCTCAGGCAATTAGTCAAAGTAGCACTGACAAGAAGGCGGCCGATCCCGAGCGTGGCCCTGCCTGCCTGTAGTGTTTCACGGAGGCGCCTCCCTGGCTTCCGAGTGGACAGAAGGATGGCAGAGGGCTGAGTCCCAGGCCCGGCACGTGGACAGCAGCTGTGAGTGGCACTCGTCAGGCAGAGCCTGTGACCTCAGCCATTCTTGCCACACAATGGGATGTGCCCGGCAGACACAACCCCCTGCAAGGGCACACACACGATCCTGCTAGGAAATTCCCCACGGAGTCCCATGGGAGCGAGAGCCCCAGGTTAGAGTTCAAACATCACCAGCACTTTGCTCCATGGGTGTGGTGTTAAGAAACATAAATTGGTGGTAAAACATAAGGTGGTGTCTGCTACAGCGTTAAGGTGGAAAAAAGCCACTGACTTCTCTGTGAGAACCACCTTGCTCTGTGAATCCGCAGGGAGGCCAGTTTTCCCACGACTGGTATCCCTCACGGCAGCCGAGCCTCTGCTGAAGTCGGTGGCCAGACGGGGCAGGGGGTGGGGGTCCCGTCCCTGCTACAGCAAGGGACCTGCAGCAAAGCACAGCCGCTGGCCGGGGTAGTGCTGCGCCGCATGCGGGGTGCGAGGGTGGAAGCACGTGTGGACATCTACAAGGTGCTAAAGGAGAGCGAAGCCAGCGATGGCCGGACCCTAATGGCATTCACTGAACAGGGGTCAAGTGCGGGCCCCAAGGAAGTCCATGGAACGAGCCGTTGCCAACCTCTGCAAAGCCAGCACAGCATCAGGGAACACGACAGGGAGAAGCCCAGGAGAGAGATGGTCCTCAGCTCCAGTGGGAGGCACAGGAGGCTGCAGCCGACCTCACGGCCCCTCCGCTCCCTTCCCTGCACTGGAACTCAGTTCTGAAGGAAGAACCCGGAACAGAACTGCTGTTTTCCGAGGTTCTGTGCCAAGCTGAACTAAGGAGTCTCCACCAGGGCTGGGAGTTTTCACCGCAAACTCTGGAGCTGGTTTGGACGTGAACATCTAAGGTAAAGGCCAGCGGCTGCTCTCCAGGAGGCACCAGGCGGCCAAGCCACTGACGTGACCCCACGTGCCAAGGTGGCCACTGTGCCATCTGCAGCTGAGTGAGGACCCTCTCTGGGTCAGCTTATCAGGGACCGGAGGGGCCACCATGCGGGTGTCAGCACCACGCCCATGACTGGCAGAATCCACTCCTCCCAAAGCACATGTTGGTGAAACTGCCTGCCCAGGAGGGCATGATCTCGGCTCTCTAAAGAACCTCTCGTCTCACCAGGAAGGCTGTGGTTCCAGGCAGTGGCCCCCAGTGGGCACGGCTCTGTCCCAGAGCTCGTACGTACCAGGCACTCAAACCCCTTCCTGCAGGCTCCCACAGCTGACCCTGCGGCCTCGCTACTCAACGCAGGTGGGAGAGGCAGGCTCCAGAGAAATGGTGCTAACGCTCCCCTAGTCTAGCGGGAATAGAAACACGACCCCAAGGACTGGATATATCCTCTCACTTTTAATCAATAAAGACAGGTTCTTCCTAAGGCAGAGAAGCTAAAAAATTTACCCTGTCCTGGCCAATGTGACCGACATAAAGCCAAGCTAACAAAGGGTGTGGGGTAAAGAGTAATAATAAATCTGGCTCATTCTTAGCACAGAAGAAACAAATTGCTAAAATAAATGAAAGAAAGCAATGGGAGGAAATGGGGTTCTCTTACCTGGACAATAACATTCAGGCTAGTGTCGGCGCCCAGGCTTATTTCCGTGCCCGGGACATTGTTGCTAATCGTGGCCGGCACCACACACAGGGGGATGCAAAGCTCCTGGTGGCGGCCTCGCGCCTCGGCCATATCGCACGCACTCTTGTAAGCCTGAAGCAGCAGGGCCAAGCGGTTAGCGGGGGTGCCGGGTGCTCACCTGCCAGACCCAGGGCCTGCGCTGAGGTCCAGGAAGGGACAGGAGGGGCCTGAGTCACCAGGGGAAGCCCGTTCATGCGGGTCAAGGGGCCGAGGGGAGCTCTGGAGGCCATGCGGGAGCAGGACAGGCCTCGGCGACACAGGGGGCTGCCTGGGCACAGTCCAGGTCCTCATGAAAGGGGAGGCCTGCAGGCAGCACAGCAGGGTGGGTGTGAGGCCGGCAGCAGAGCAGGTTACAGGCAGTGGCGAGTTAGTCACGAGCGGGACAGCTCAGCTCTCGGCATCTCATCGTGGGTAAGGGAGGCCAGGGCGGTCAGGACGTTTAAAGGCAAAGCCAGTCCCGTAGCTTTCTGCAGACAGGCAAAGATGAGTGGGATGGGGCCCACAGCTGTAAGGACCACACCGAGTGGCCGCCGTCATCGTGCAGAGGCGGCCTCTGCGCGCAGGCAGGGAAGGAGGCAGGCAGCTGGATTACCGGGGGGCCACACTCAGCCCCGGGCCACACCTCTCCTCTCCGGCGGGAGGCTGCCATTTCTGCCCTCGGGAAGCCGCACACAAAGCCACACAGGCGAGCAAGAACCTGAGTTGCTGCTCTGGGGTTCCACTGGGAAATGGGCTCTGGTGTCAGAAAGGGGAGCGGTTCTCGAGCCCGTGTGCCCCGGGGTTTTTCAGACTCCACCTCAGGGTGTTAACCAAGGTAACAGTAGGACAGGTCCACACGCCCACTGTTCCCAGCTCCAAGCGGCCCCACACAGCAAGGTGTTTTTGTCATCCACTTAGTGGCAAAACCAACTATTTCTGGACTTGGACGTGTCCCTCTTACTGTGAATATCCCCACATCTGCTGCAGGAACGCTACTGTTGGGACACAGGGTGGGGCCCACATCTCCCTGGGAGAGTTGGACAGTGAGCGAGCCAGGCTCTGCAGCTCTGGTGCAACCCAAAGCACCCCAAGGCCAGGAGCCCATGTGGGCTGAGGGCTTCGGACAGTGGGTGCAGATCCGTGGCAGGTGAGTTCACAGCGTGGTGGGTAGGAGGGAAAGGTGGGTGGGTCAGTGCTGGGTGACCACGAGGTGAGCGGTGAGAGGCGCCCCCGCACCCCATGGCACGGCCTCCACGTCCACCCAGGCCTGGCACATGCCCAGCTCAAGTACAGGCTCTGCCTTGCAGGCTCTGGCCATGGCAGTTTTTGCAGGACTTCAACCCAAATGCCAGCCTGCTTCCCAGCCAGAAACACTCATCTGGGGATACTCGCTGGCCTGGTGCCCAGGATGTGGCCCCATCAGCACCACCACATGGGGGACTCCCTATGCTTTATCAGACAGGTGATGTCACTCCTTTACTGTGGAATACCCCAGCTCAGGACGGACCAAGACTGGCTGGACCAAGACTGGCCGCGGGGAGCTGGCTGCTTCTCCAAGAAGCCCTTGCTGGAAGCCAGAGGGTGTGGGTGACCTGGGGCCAGGAGGGGCCTGAGGCACACAAGAGGGCAGGTGGGGGGTCTCGGCTCCTTAACTCCACATTGAAATCTGTGGGAATGGCCACATTGCTGCAAATCCTCTCTCCCCTCTTCCCTGTCGCTCCTCTTTTCCTTCCTTCAGTCTCCAAAAAAGGAGAGGGAAGCTTCAAGACAGGGGGAGACTCTGCCCAGAAAAGCATAAAACTCTCAAGACCAAACACAGCCGGGCCCCTGGGTCCGTGATGGGGCCACTATGACAAGGATACTCACAAGGCTGTGTTCACCGCCACCTTCGCGACACCTGACAGCAGCGTGGCACCCACCTACTGTGTTTCTGATGTGACCTGATCAAGCTTACAGGACAGAGTAATGCACCAGCCAGCGCTAGGGAATGAAAGGAATCCAACTGAAACTCCCTGCAGCCATATCCTGAGAACGTGTAACACCTGCTCTGAGGTATTTCATTCATTCTGTTCTGCCCGGAAGACCCACTCGCCAGCACAGCATAGATTCGGAGGTGCTGTGGTGTCAGTTAAACATCAATGCAGGCAAGAAGCAAATCATGAGTGAGGATGAGGACGCACGTGTCCAAAGAAGATGACAACTTCACCACATCAGATCCGCCCAGGGCTTCTGAAGCACAACACGGCCATGTCCTGAGCCAGACTCCTACTATGGAGCCCGCCCTGTGCTTGGAGGGACTTTCCTCAGCGTCCCTTGTCTCCAGCCCCAGGTGCCGGGAGCATCCCTTCTCCCAGTTCTAACCAGAAACCTCCCTGGACGGTGCAAACATCCCCTGGGGCACAGTCACCCCGATGAGAATCACCAAATTGACTGAACAACTGGAGCCATCCACAGACCTCAAACATAAATGCTGCCCAGGGCCACAGAGGGTGTGGCCGGACAGGGAAGAGACGCTCACTCCCACACGGCCTCAGCCTCCGACGGCTTCAGGACAGTGGCTGGAGCGACCCGGAGCCATCCACATCAAGTCGCCTCACGCCCTCATTTCCTGAGCTCGCCACCAGCTCCTGTTCTACGGCCAACGAGCCCAGTTCAGACCCAAATCCAAACCTTCTCAGGATTCACGCTGTTTGGCCGTCAGTAAACAGGGCTCTGGAGAAAACAGCTGCCATGTTCACATCTCGGTCCCTCTCCCTTCAGGGGTCCACAGAGGGACCCTCAGCAGCTTTCTCATCCTTGCCCCGGCTCCCGAGCAGCTGCAGCATTTGCCAGGGTGACCTTGATCAGCCGGCGTCACTCACCCATCACGAGACTAGAACCACGGCACTGCCAAGACAGCCTCATTCCTCGGAGCTCAGGATCAGAAGGGCAATGAGGACATACATATACACTTACCAAGGTGGCTGTGCCTGGCGAACGGGAGGCTCGACTAACTACACGCTCCAGTTCTTTCTCTATTGTAATCAATTAACTTAAGGCCCGGCGCGGTGGCTCATCCCTGTAACCCCTGTGCTTTGAGAGGCCAAGACAGGGGGACTGCTTGAGCCTAGAAGTTTGAGACCAGCCTGGGCAACACAGGGAGACCTCGTCTCTGTAGAAATACAAAAAATTAGTCGCGCACGGTGGCATGCACGTGTAGTCCCAGCTACTCAGGAGGCTGAGGTGGGAGGATCGCCTAAGCCTGGGAGGTCGAGGCTACAGCGAATCGTGATTGCACCACTGCACTCCAGCCTGGGAAACAGAGTGAGGCCTTGTCTCCAAAAAAAAAAAAAAGAAAACGAAATTGTTTAACCTAGCTTTGAGAAACTTGAATGAATGAAAAAGTGAATTTAAAACAATTGCATAATAAATCACCAGTCCCTCCAAGGGAAGTCAAAGCGGGTGGAACGGATCATTTGTGGGGTGTTTGCCTCACGTATTTTGGTTTTCAAATTTTGATCCTACACATTTGTTACATATTTACAATCTGAAAAAAACAAAAAAACAAGTTATTTATAGCAGAGGACACTGGCATTAAAAAGATAGATTTTCTTCATGCCTGAAAGTGTACATCACATACCACAAGGATCTATACTTTGTGTGGAAACTTCGAAATAAAAAAAGTCACAGGGAGATCAATACCAGCTTTGTCCCACATCTTCAGATGCTCAGCTAACTGCAGTGACTGCTCTCAAATTCCCCACCCATTCCCTCTGGGCGAGTTCCAATAGGTAACAATTAGGGAAAAAAGAAGCTTCAATCCCTCCCATTGCACACCCAACTTTCACAGACCCAAAAGTCCAGCTAAAGCCAGTGAAAGAGCAGTGAAAGCCATGCTGGAATCCCCTCTGTGAAACAGACACTCATGTTCACATTTCCAGCGCGAAGGTCACCTCAGAGCCGGGCCGGCCCCGCAGCAGCAAAGCCGTGACACCCGTCACCAGAATTACAGAAGCAACGTCTAGGTCAGAGATTAGTGACTGCCAAAAATAAGGTGAAAGTTGCCCCCCCAAAGCCAGTGAACACGGGAAAACCTGGGCAGGTTTCCTTCGCAAAGAAATTGAAGAAAGTTTAAGATGATCAGAAAAGCAAGAAAGGAGTGCTAAGTGTTACTTACCATATGAGCCGTATGTTAAAAGCTTGTTTTTTTATTTACCAGTGCTAGAAATAAGTTTCATGCCAAGGGTTTATAAAAGAAAAAAAAAAACTTTGAAAAATATTCATGAGAACTAAGTCGCACAAGAAAAATTAAAACTTGAGAATTACTGAAAAATTTTAGACATCAAATTTTAAAAAAATGAAATGCTTCCTGCATTAGGTACGGATCTGCAGATTCCCACGTGAATCACCAAGTGTGACACACAAACATGGGGATAGGCGTGTATGTCTTTTAGCCAGGAATGGTGGCACGTGCCTGTGGTCCCAGGTACTTGGGAGGCTGAGGTGGGAGGATCACCTGAGCCCAGGAGGTTGAGGCTGCAGTGAGCCGAGATCACACCACTGCACTCAAGCCTGGGTGACAGAGTAAGACCTTGTCTCACAAAGAAAAAAAAAAAAACAAAAAACAGAAGAATATATTTCTATATTTTATTATTGTCTCTTGGCAAAAAAACTAAACTAGCCCCAATGTTGCCTTAGATGTAATTTAATATTCTCAGTTTACAAAGGGGAAAATGAGGTCAACAGCCAAGACCAAAGAGATAACAAATGCAATGGTGCGTTCAGGGCAATGACTACAATTATAAAATATTCAGTTCAATTTCTACCCTCAGCATCAAGGCAGGGGTTTGTCATAATGGATATTGGAAGCTCAAAGAAAATTTAGGCTCAGCATTTAAAAAAAAAAAAAAGCAGATTTTAATGCTGGTGCAATCACAGGAGACTGCGGCCCAGTCCTCCTCAGCACTGCAGGTACTCACGGGCGCTCCCGGGGTCTTGGCCATGCTACGTCCCCACCAGTGGCCACACAGAAGAAGCAGTAAAACTTTTTGGGAGTGAGATCAAAAATGTGCAGAGTCTAAAAACCTACTTTTCTAGGGGGGGAAAAAGAACGAGAAGCTCTCATTCAGGGTATTTGTAAAAGGCTGTTTCTAGCACACTGGTAGATAAAAAGGGCCGGGGCCCTCAGGTTAGCGTCAGCCGGCGCCCGCCTGGCGGGGCGCACACGGACTTACGTCGGTGATAGTGTTCAGGGCTGTGTCTGCCCCGATGCTGAAATCGGAACCCGGCACATTGTTGGACACAGTAGCGGGAACCATGACCATGGGCACACAGAACTCCTCGTGCTTCTCCCGGGCGGCTGACAGCTCCAGGAGTCCCAGGTAGGCCTGTCAGACAAGCGTGGGAGTTGTGGGGCGAGAGGGAAGCAGGGAGGAGGGGGTCTCGCTGGGAGAGCCTCAGGGAGAGCCACCTCCACCACAGCACACAGGCAGCACAGTGGGGCGTCACGAAACCACTACGAGACCAACACAAAGTCGCGTTAAGACCACAGACAAGAATACAAGGATCAGCAGGTTCTAAGCACAAAGGGTGAAGGACAAAATCAGTGAGAAGACTAAACCCTCATGGGTAAGAGTCTCATTTCTGAGGTTCTTACTTTGTTTTTATTTTTTTCTTTTCGAGACAGAGTCTCGCTTTGTCACCCAGGCTAGAGTGCAGTGGCGCAATCTTGGCTCACTGCACCTCTGCCTCCCGGGTTCAAGCGATTCTCCTGCCTTGGCCTCCTGGGTAGCTGGGACTACAGACACCTGCCACCATGCCCGACTAATTTTTGTATTTTTAGTAGAGACAGGGTTTCACCCTGTTGGTCAGGCTGGTCTTGAACTCCTGACCTCAGGTGGTCTGCCTGCTTCAGTCTCCCAAAGTGCTGGGATTACAGGCATGAGCCACTGCGCTCCGCTGGTTCTTACTTTTTCTAAAAGTAAATGGAAAGGTTACCATGGGACTAATCTTCACTGAATAGAAAAATATTAGGGTCTATAGTCCAAAATGTGATTTTAAACAAAATTCTAGGTATAACTACCTTACTCTCTAAGTAGCCACTGGACTCTGGACTCAAGAGAGAGAATGACTTCCACAAACCTGAAATACATCAAGAGCTCACTGAATAGATGAGTCCCAGTTAAGGAGTCAAGCTTTTGCTTCTTGGTTAAGTTACTTTATTGGGAACTGGGTCACTCGTAGGCCACGTCTTACCACCTGCTATTCTGCTGTTCTACAATTCTCCAGTGGCAGCTGGGTCTGGGAACCTATCATCTCGGATCGTGGCCAGTAGTCAACAAGTAGCTTAATGTTTAGCCAACACAGGGCGCGGCTCACACCTGCAAGACTGGCAAGCGGGTGAAGAGAGAAACGGAAACGTACCTCAAACCCGCCGATGATCAGTAGCGCGTTGATGCTGTGCGCGCGCATCTGCGTGGCGATCTCCTCCAGGTACTTTCCCGGGAGAACGCTGAAAACAGCCAAATGGAGAATGACGTCAGACACCTGGAGCTCCACGCAGACTGCGGGACATCACGCCGGGAACCCGAGAAACCACGCTGGTCCCCACCCGGCCTCCCTCCCTAGTCTGTGGTTTTAAGGAGCGGTAAACGTTTGCCATTTCACGCAGGCCACTGTGGCTGGCAGACGGCAGAACGATCAGGAATCTCATCTCAAAACAGTGTTTTCATGAGAAAACGGAATACAGCATTTCAGCTGATACCTTGACCTAAAAAGAACTCTGCTGCCCCATTCAAAAAAATAAAAATAAAAACTTATAATTATTAACGATCAATTTTTTTTTTTTTGAGACGGAGTCTCGCTCTGTCACCAGGCTGGAGTGCAGTGGTGCAATCTCGGCTCACTGTAACCTCTGCCTCCCTGGTTCAAGTGATTCTCCTGCCTCAGCCTCCCGAGTAGCTGGGATGACAGGTGCCCGCCACCACAACTGGCTAATTTTTTGTATTTTTAGTAGAGACAGAGTTTCACCGTGTTGGCTGGGATGGTCTCGATCCCTTGATCTGGTGATGCACCCACCTCGACCTCCCAAAATGCTGGGATGACAGGAGTGAGCCACCACGCCTGGCCCGATAATTGTTTAAATGGAAATCTCCAGTTTCCAAATAACTTACGTATGCATTATCCACTATTGATCTCATTTAAAATCCCATCTGCTCATACTTGCTCTCTCTCCCCCATGCTATCACCAATGGCACATGACAGGGCTAACAAGTGCAACACCAGACTGTGTGCCCCCTGGATCCCATCCCAAACCCACCCAAAGGTTTCATGTTGATTGGAAGAAGTGAAGTACTTGTACTCTTGGTAGATTTATAAGGCAAAAATGTTCAGGCCTGGCCATCAGAGCAGACAAATGGATGCAGCTACTTGCAAAATTACCCTGGCCCCTAAGGTAAGGTTTCTTAAGCCTCTTCAGGACAAGCCCAGAACAGCCAGCGAGTTCTCTCTACATCCTCGAGGGCAACGCTCTGGCCAGCTTATCAAGCACCTGCGCCCGGGGAGTCGGCGGCCAGTCCTCAGCCCCAGGACGCACACCGAGGGATGCATCTGCCTCTACCTAGAGCTTTACCGTCTGGGGCACCGACATGCACAGCTCATGAGAACAGCCAGGAGGCAGCCACAGAGCTAACCCAGCTCTGAGGCTTCCCAGCAGTGGCTGGGAGTACCAGGGTCCTGGCTGTAAAGCAAAGCAAAGGGTGCAGCTAACTCCCTTGGAACTATAAGCCAGAATTACGTGGAATCCATCATTTATTATATTTGCCAAAAACCACCTTCCTTCCATATGAAATCGCGATCTGCAGTGATGACAGATATTAACATTCGCACCCCTGACATGATCAAAGGTGAGAAGAACTCAGGCTTCATCTACATTTGAAAATTCCATCGTCCCCAGCGATGCAGGGACGCAAGAGTTACTATAGGTCCGAAAAAGAGATTTTTAGACTAGAATTCCTTGGGTCCTTTCTTTGGCTGTGGAAATCTGAGCCTCGAGTCACAGCTGCTCAGGGCTACTGTTCCCACCAATGCTACCTGCTATCTAGGCTGCTTTAGGGTTTGCTTAGAGTGCTGTCTCCACAGCTCCGTGACACCACTCATCTTTATGACCTCCAAGTGGAGGCTTTAGGCTTGCCAGTTGGCTCTTCAAATGAATGGAAATATGAATTAGAGGAAGGCATTCACAAGTTACCTCCGCATCTCATTTACGCCCTGGGATGCCTCCCCAGCTCCCTGGAACACAGGCAGTTCCACTGGAGGGAGGACCGGTAACTACCTGCACCCCTCCCTTAGGGACGCCTTTACAGGAATCGCAAGTGGCATCGGCACTTAGCAATTCTCTTCCAGAACACGGCTCTTCCTTCTTCCTTAAAAGCAGGTCATAGAGTCAAGATTTGGAAGTTACCGTTTTGTCCCAAGAATGGAGCCTCCTTGGCCGGTCCAGCCCCCGACATCTGTCCAGCTGATTTCTTTGATCTAATGTGCAAACACAGAATGAAACAGCTAAAGTGAACAATGAAAGGCAAGTTAGAAAGTACTAAAAACAGCTTTCTGTGCTTTTTCAACAGGCTGCATTCCGGTAAAGATTTGAGAGGCAAGGCCGGGCGCGGTGGCTCATGTTTGTAATCCCAGCACTTTGGGAGGCTGAGGCGGGCGGATCACGAGGTCAGGAGATCGAGACCATCCTGGCCAACACGGAGAAACCCCGTCTCTACTAAAAATACAAAAAATTAGCCAGGTGTCGTGGCAGGCGCCTGTAGTCCCAGCTACTCAGGAGGCTGAGGCAGGAGAATGGCGCGAACCGGGGAGGCAGAGCTTGCAGTGAGCTGAGATCACGCCACTGCACTCCAGCCTGGACGACAGAGCAAGGCTCCGTCAAAAAAAAAAAAAAAAAGATTCGAGAGGCGTGTGAGACAGCATTTATCGCGATGCCTGGAGGAATCAAGGCGAGAAACAGCAGCAGAGGGGCTGCGTTCTCCCTGCCTGTCAGGGCTTCTGCGTCTTACCCCCAGCCACGTGTGAGATACGCCAGCTCCCCATATCCCGCCACCGGCAATTAAAAGAAAAGTAACATGATGGTTTCTAAATTGGTAAAAGATTAAGGGAAAATTTCTTTTCTTACAAACTAGGGAGAGAAAAAGGAAAACAGATTACTAAGCAAACTAATGTAATCACAGAAAGAGGATGCGACTGCGAGGACGGCGCGGCCGCGGGAGGAGAACCTGTGGGGCTCGAACCCCAGCTCCGAAGCTTCCGGTCACGAGATTCCGGGTAAGTTCACGGATTTGGTGGACGCACTGCTATGCTGCAGTGAGATCTCCAGGTAAATTACATTAGAAAAAAAATCATTCTATATCAAAAGGTAAATGTTGTACAAGGTGTGTGTGTGTATATATATATATATATTTGACAGAACCATATAAATCAGGCTTTTTTTTTTTTTCACATAAATCAGTTTTGAAGGCAATATTTCTTTAAATAAAGCAAATACCAGTTTTAGGTCAATTAATCTTTACAAGTCTGAACAAGAAAGACGGGGAAAGCAAGATCCACCCAGGACAGAACGGTTCCTCGTCCGGTTCCTGCAGCTGAGATGCAGGTGGATGGGCCAACATGGAAAGGGGGCCAGCGGTGGTGGAAGGTGGATCATCTGTGTTCCCGGGGATGCCACTGCGCATCTCCCCCTAACTCTCTGCCACCCCTCAGTCTCCTGGGCTGGGGTCTCCTCTTCCCACCCCACTCTTAACAATGACGCCCTGAGGACTCAGTCCCGGACCTCCTCTCTCTCCTACCTGCACTCAGGCCCTCAGGGAAGCTCTGTGAGTTCTGTGCCTTTAACTACCACGGAGACGCTGAAGCCTCCCAAACCCACGTGCTGAGCCCACCCCTCCTGAAGACGCCGGGACACAGCGGCTTACTGCACATTTTTGGCCGCGGGGGACACACCTTCACCCCGGCATCCCCAGTCCTGTCCTCGGCCGCGGGACACACCTTCACCCCGGCATCCCCGGTCCTGTCCTCGGCCGCGGGACACACCTTCACCCAGCGTCCCCAGTCCTGTCCTCGGCTGCGGGACACACCTTCACCCAGCGTCCCCAGTCCTGTCCTCGGCTGCGGGACACGCACCTTCACCGTGGCCTCATGAGTCTCCACTCCTCCTCCTTCCTGAAAGCAGTGTCTCTCAGGGCTTCCTGTCCTCTTAAGTTGCAACTCTACCCCTTCCATGTGCTCAGGCCAGGAATGGAGTGATTCTTGCCTCCTCTGTTTATGCCTGCGTGTACTTAGCAAGCAAATCCCATGTGCCCTCCGTGCCCTCAATATCTCCAGACCCTTGGAGGTTTCTTGCCATCTGCACAGCAGCCCGTCTGGACCCACCGTCTCTTGCTAGGTGACTGCAAAGCCCCAGCTGGAAGCCCTGCCTCCTGCCTCTGCCTCGATGAACACCAGAGAGTCCCTTTAGAAAGCTCTCGGTGTGGGCCAGTCCCCGCTCAGGATCCCAAATCTCACATAACATAAAAGCCAACCTCCTCAGGCTGCCCACAAACAAGCCGGCCCCGCCCCTGCAGTTCCCATCCCCACTGCCCTGCGCGGGCTCGGAGCCCCTGCCCCTGTGAGCATCAGCTCCAGAGCATCCTTTCCCTCCGCCTGGGAGGAGTGTCCCTCGAGGGTCCCAAGAGCCGCCTGCTCATCCTCTGACCTGCAGCCTGGGAGCACCTTCCCCAGCGTGGCTGTCTGGGGGAACTCCAGCAGGCCCTCCTCCGCGTGCCTCTGAGCACTGCTCACTGTCCAGAGAGCAGGGGGTCCTCAGTCACTGTTCTCTGTCCCCGTCTAAAATGCAGTCTCCACGGAACCAGAGAGTTGTGCCTGCTGTGCTCACTCATTTAATTCCTCAGCATAAGAACTCCACAAAGTCGGAGGCCGGGCACGGTGGCTCATGCCTGTAATCCCAGCACTTTGGGAGGCCGAGGTGGTGGGTCACCTGAGGTCAGGAGGTCGAGACCAGCCTGGCCAACATGATGAAACCCCATCTCTACTAAAAATACAAAAATGAGCTGGGCGTGGTGGCGCGTGTCTGTAATTTTGGCTACTCAGGAGGCTGAGGCAGGAGAATCGCTCGAACCCGGGAGGCGGAGGTTGCAGTGAGCCGAGATCACGCCATTGCTCTCCAGCTTGGGCAACAGAGTGAGACCTCATCTCAAAAAAAAAAAAAAATTTCACAAAGCAGGTATTTGTTGGCTAATCAAATTTCCGTCTCAAAAAAAAAAAAAAAAAAAATTTCACAAAGCAGGTATTTGTTGGCTAATCAGATAAACAAAGAGCCACCAGTTCAGCCCCCCGTCAGGAGCTCAGAATCCTGTTTCCAGTCCTCCCTCGTGCATCCAGCCCGGTTGGCATCCCTGTGCCTCAGTTTTCTTGTAAGGAAAATGGGGATAACATCTTAGATTCAGTGTGAGGCTTAAATGGGTGAACACACGTAAATCCCGCAGAACAACTGGGTACAGCACACGTCAAGAGGTGTTACCGGTGTTCACTAAGGTTTGTATTTCAGTGGGTGCTTGTGCACACCGGACACCGCCTACTTTCCCTCCAGTGCCCGGTTTAAACCAACCGCGGCCTCCGAGACGACACCACCTTCCTTCTCACCTAATGTCAGGGTCATCAGACCCCAGAGGCACTGCCATCCCCCAGCACCTTTTCAGAAAATTCAAAAGCACATCACACCCTGGGCTCCATCTGAGGGCCCGAAACCTACCTTAGGGTGAGATTTCACTCCAGAAGCAATGCCTTAATAAGTAGTCATTCAGTCACAATGTCACAGGATCCTGGACTGAGACAGGATCCTGGACTGAGGCGTGAAAAGGTGTGAGGGCCGTGGAGGGGGCCCCCCCATTCCACTGTGCTCGGAGCCAGGGGGTCTGCCCGCCTATGGCGTCCTGGGTGACTCACCTGGCCCTTGGCGAAGCCATCAAAGCCATCATAGATGGCGAGCATCCTGTGGCCGTCGGCAATGCCCACGCGCACAGCTGAGCGCACGGCCGCGTTCATCCCGGCCGCGGGGGCCCCCACGTTGATGACAGCCACGTTGCAATTGGTCTGCAAAACAGAAAGCGGGCGAGCACTGGGTCACGGGCACACGCGAGCTCCATTTGCGGCACGCTGTGGCAGTGGCCCATGCCGAGCCAGGCCTGAAAACCGGTGGCCTCATTCAGCGAGGCAGAGGCCACGAGGGGAGGCCCGCAGGAGAGGTCGGAGGCATCGCGGGAGGCCGGCCACCAACCTTTGGGATCTGATCATCCGGCAGCTTGATGGCGAGTCGCTTGTAGGTGTTCAGGTTGCCCGCAAAGCTCCTAAAGGAAGAGGGTGTTGTTGGATCAGAGTTGGGAACACCACACACAACCTAGGGCTCATGCAGAGAAAAGCGGCTCGTCTGCCAGCACTCAATGTGTCTGCCAACTATCTGGGCAGGAGGAGGAGGCCCCAGGATTCCACGCGCGCTGCAGAGCCCTTACTGCGACCCGCGGTGCTGTCCGTGTCTGGAGGAAACGGACTGAGAGAAAAGGGTATGCTTCTACACTTCGTAACTTTCTCTTACAAAACGAGGGCCACAGCCGGGTGTGGTGGCTCAAGCCTGTAATCCCAGCACTTTGGGAGGCTGAGGCGCGTGAATCATTTGAGGTCAGGAGTTCGAGACCAGCCTGGCCAACATGGTGAAACCCCGTCTGTACTAAAAATACAAAAATTAGCTGGACATGGTGGCACGCGCCAGTAGTCCCAGCTCCTTGGAAGGCCGAGGCACGAGGATTTCTTGAACATGGGAGGCAGAGGTTGCAGGGGGCTGAGATGGCACCACTGCACTCTAGCCTGGGTGACAGAAGCAGACTCCGTTTTTTGTTTTGTTTTGTTTTTAAAAGGCCACAAGTCACCTTGTGCCTTAATCTCATTAGCTCCTAAACCACCACCACCTTGCCAAAAAGGACTAATGGCAACTTTAGAAAATGATTTCTCTCTAACCAGTCACCAGGGCCTGCTACTGCAAAAGTGGTGCTGTGAGTCCTGCCTGACTTTCTGAGTTTTCAGACTGACATGGAATAAGCACAACCCCTAAGCACATTTGCAGTGGCCAGGCCCGAGGGGTGTGTGTTCCCGACAGAGTGGAGCTTTCTCCAAAGCACCTCACCTCCCTCGGAGCCGAACCGCATCTTGAAATCTCCTCTCATCCATCGCCTTCTGCACATCCTGAGTCTTTTAAAACAATGATGAAAAGAAGAAAGAATGTGTCAGAACTTGGTGCACCATGGATGGCGTGGGTGGAGGCTGGCTCGGTCCTTCCCACCAGCCCTCTCCAGTCTGACCCAGGCCGCCGGCAGCCCCAGGGTTAATGGTCTAGACGACCGGCCACCAAGTATAACTTAATGCTGGTTGGCAGCCAGCCCCTCACTGCCCGGCTGTGAGGTCAGAGCCCTGGGGTCTGCTTAGCTCAGGAGGCTTCTGAGGAAAAAGAGGAGGTGTCACCTGCTGTTTGTGGACACAACATTGTGAAGATTTAACCCAAGAGAACAAAGCCGGAGGAAATGAAACCTCTCAGACATGGTTCTAAGGAATTCTCAATTTGATTATGGTGGGAAAACAAAAACAAACACACCAGCTCACTGGGGAATGCGGGTCGGGAGTGAGGTCACGGCGGGCGGGGGAGCAGAGGGGCCCTTTCTCGCTCTAAACTTCAATTTCCTCCTCTGTAAGATGAGAAAAATACTCCTCCTTCCAGCAATCTCTAAGGTTATTCAAACATGTCAGACCCTCAGGAAGACGCCTGACAAACAGCAGGTGCACAGTAGTGGCTCCCTCCGCTTTAACAACAAAGCCACACAAGCGTGGTTTCAAGGTCAGGGCAAGTGACACCTACCGTGATCGTCTCTAGACAAGCAGAGACACGAGACACAGGCTCAAAATACACGTACTGCGTGTCGTTCAGTGCTCTGAGCCTTTTAGGCCTACTGCCTCTCACATGCACACAGGCACACACTACTATGCAGACACACACTACCTCGAACTCATACCAACATGCACACATATGCATAGAAACATACCTGCACACAGACATGCAGACACACGCTACCTCTCACATACACACACATGCATATAAACATGCACGCACACACAGACATGCAGACACAATACCTCACATACACACGCATATAAACATACATGCACACAGGGTAACATGCAGACACACTCGCTCACACTCAAACATGCATAGCCATGCATATAAACATACAAACACATGCAGACACAAACTACCTCACACACTCACACACACACACACATATGCATAAACCTGCATGTACATGCATATACAGAGACACACACACACACAGACACAAGCCTTCACACACATACACACAAATACTATTTTCTCCCTTGGGCTTTTGGAAATTATGTTTCCAAGGTGACTTTCAACAAGTCCCTGCCTTGATTGCTTCCTGACTTCTTTGTGTGTGTTAAGAGGCATATTTACCTCAGGGTCACTGGAAAGACCCAACAAAACAGGAGTCACGAATGAACTCTGAAAAATAACAGCCGGGCGCGGCGGCTCACGCCTGTAATCCCAGCACTTTGGGAGGCCGAGGCGGGTGGATCACAAAGTCAGGAGATCGAGACCATCCTGGCTAACACGGTGAAACCCTGTCTCTACTAAACATACAAAAAAAAAAAAAATTAGCCGGGCTTGGTGGTGGGCACCTGTAGTCCCAGCTACTCAGGAGGCTGAGGCAGGAGAATGACATGAACCCAGGAGGCGGAGCTTGCAGTGAGCCAAGATAGCGTACTCCAGCCTGAGCAACAGAACGAGACTCCATGTCTAAATAAATAAATAAATAATAAAATAAAATAAAATAAACTTCGAAGGCAGCTAACTCCACAGTCACCTCCACTACTGAACAATGCCTGGAAAGCCGGAACTGCTTTTCCCTTTGTTCATTTGCAGACGGCAGTTCCCTGGCCCGAGAAGGGTGGGTGCATCTTCGGGTGACTAGAGTCATCCCTGTGTCCCATCACAGACCTGAATGTCCTTGGGGATAGGAGGACAGGAAGTGGCTGAAACTGGAGAAGTTTGGGAAGGTCCCACCTTCCCCTACAAAATACTGCCGTGCAGATCTCTCTTATGCCTGCCTCCCTGCCACTCTGTCCACAGATTTCTCTTGCGACCACCTCCCTGTACTCCGTCCTCCTGCAGCGCCGGGTGCACTGGGGCCACCTGGAACCTCTTCGACTGTTGGGATCCCAACACTCTAGACCCATCTCAGGGGAGGTTACAACTACGTGCCACAAGGACAGACGGTAACTTAGAAAACCAAAGAGTGAAGACGGCGCAGGTTCTGCAGGTGTGGGTGAGAACACAAGCCTGCTCCCTCCCCATGGGCAGCTCACCCCCTTCTCAGAAAGGCCGTGTAATCCAGCGTGCACCGACGAGACACCCGAGGTGCCCAGGCCGGCCCGACAAGCAGCGTCTGTCCCCAGCCGCCCCCACCCCGCCTGTGGTCATGGGCTGCCCACTCACCATCTGCACGCACTCCATCAGTGGCAGGCGCACGGCGTGGTTCCCGTTCAGCGACACGACGCAAGCTGGGGTGTCCGGGGTGGCCTCTAGCAAGGCGATGACTGCCTCCACCCCCATGCGGCTGGCCTGGAAACCAGGTCCATGTGGGTCAGGGGCAGCCCCCCACCTTGCACCGTCCCTGTCACCTCCTGCTGTCTTTCCATGACCCCCAATGATCTCAGTCAGGTGCTCACAGCTCTCCCCACTTGCAGCCTAACTCTTCAGAGCAAAGCGATTTCCACTCCTTTAGAACCGGCAAGATGGGAACAGAGGGCAGGTCAGGGCCAGACGGAGAGCAGGAGTGTTAAGAGCTGAGTTTGTACTTGGGATTCCTGCTGCCCCGAGTCACAGTTTCCAGAAACCCATACAAAGAACACAGCCTTTCTGCCCTGGGGTTGTGTCCTCTGGGGTCCACGTCATCCCAACAGCAGGCACTGCCCTCCCACACTAGGGAGCTCTCCCCGCCTCTGAATGGCTGTAGGCCTAGACACTGGTCTGCACCAAAGGTCTCAAGGATCGTTAAGACGAGGGCCGGGCCGCCGGCATCTGTGGGGGAGTATCCTGCCAGCCTCTGTGGCCAGCTAGTGTCTGCGCCTCTCCAGAAACGCTCCCTGCTAGAGACCTTGTGAAGATGCCCAACGCTCCCATCCTCACCAAGATCCTGTCGAATGCCGAAGGGGTCCCTCCTCTCTGCACGTGTCCGAGGATGGTCACACGTGTGTCGTAGCCCAGCTGCGTGACGACGAGCTGCAAGGGAACGTCTCGTTAGGATGCGGAACCGTGATGCGGACCCAGCAGCCCAGATCTGGAAGCAGGTACGGGGCACTGAAAAAGGTTTTTCGCTCTTTCTTCAGATCCGACTACCATTTTCTACGGGTGGGTCTTTAATGCGGGGCTTTATAGAAAGCGAATCACATTGAGGATGAGCTAATCACATCGTGGAGTGTCGCTGTATTCCTTTCATGACCTCTTTAGGCCTCACGTGACTGCTGTGAGCCTAGGAAAGGACAATGGGGACAGCAGCTACGGCGGTCCAGCAGTGCAAGGCCTTTCGGGTGGCAACTGTGGCCACCAGAACCCACCTATGTGGGCCCCTGTGTTCGCTCACACTGTTTTTCTGTCCCCGCCTCTCTGCTGCTGAGCCTGTGCGCAATACAACTTCATCCCCAGTGGCCAGGCTTCCGAGGCCCCCCTGGGAGGGGCGGGGAGGAGTGGTTTACAGGGAGGTGCAGGAAAACTCTGAGGGAGCAGAAGCTGAGTGCACGAGGGCGCCTGTGGGTCCATCTCTGTGGTCCTCCCCTTGGGAAAACCCTTGTCAGGTCAAACACCAGTGCCTCCACCGAGGCTGGCTGGGGGCCCACCGTTCCCTGTCTGTGGTGGTGGTGGCTCCAGTCCAAGAGCTCTCTTCCAAGTGGAGCCACCAGCCTGCCCTGCCCTTCACCGAACCCTGCCCATTCACCCTGCCTCGCCCTGCCTCTCCTCTCTGCCCTCACCACCCTGCCTCACTCACCTGCTCCTCCAACCTGCCTCCTCCACCTGCTCCTCACACCTCTGTCCTCCTCAACATCTGTCCTCTCCACACCTGCCCTCTCACAACCTCTGTCCTCCTCACACCTCTGTCCTCCTCTCATCCAATCCTCCTCGCCTATCATCAGAGCTACACTTTCACCACCCTTCGATGTCCATTGGAAAGCAGCTCCTTAAGGAAGCTGGGCAAAATGATTCCTAGGCCCAGAAAGAGGCTATTCAGTCCGAGAAGATTTCTGTGGTTTTGTCTGTAAGTTTGTTCTTAAGATGGATTAGGATTTGAGAGCTTTAATTTTCCTA